AGCAAAAAAAATCAAACATAAGCGTGAACTAATTTAGGGAAATTTGCCTGTAGAAAAAACTTTAACAAAAACACAGGGCCTAAACAAGTTTCTTCAGTTTGTTCAGTGACACTCGATAAACCTGAAATTAGACCGATGTAAAAAAAATTGCAAAACGCGTTGCTCCAATTCAAATTACATCACCGAATTGATTTTTTAGCATTAAGAATGTTCAAATTTTCTGAAGTTTTTTGCTATACATAAAAAAATTTCAAGCCAATTACGTCCAATGAAACTAACGTGACTGTATGCATAAGAAACGAAGCAGAAAAATTCTAGCATACCAACTAAATAAAATAGTCACGAATGCAAAAAAAGTGTCACGAATGTAAAAAAAAACAAAAAAAATTTTCGAACTATCAAATAAAGTACGGTCCTAGGTCTAATTTAAAATTATTTCTTTCTGTTAAAGCTAACCCAATTGAGGAATCAGGATCGGAAGGTAAGTCTTTCATTCCACTGGGCGATCTTCATAATAAAATCTACTTTTGAAATTTGTAGTCGATCATGTTTTAGTAACCTTTACACTTTTGCTGATTGAAAGTGGAGATCGCCTTCCTTTTAAAATAGGAAAAGTGAAGAATTTCAAAAAAAACGACATCAAAAAACCGCAAAAAAAAATGAAATTTGATCATGAACTTCGTCACAATTAAAGAAGAAACCTCACTACGGTCAATGCTTTTTAGAAAAAAACTGATTTTCAAAAATTAAAGTCCACTTTTCAAGCTAGAAATTGATCTTTTTTTGTGGTCTTTAGACTGGTTTAAATTTGAAGTTGGCCGTCTTTTTATTCGTTTTAGCAAAGGAATTGATTTTAAAAAAATCAAAACTTGAACGGCAAAAAAATCAGATTTGAGCGTCAAAAAATTTCAATTTTTCCTGAAGAAAAACTTTAACAAAAAACACAGGACCTGATTAAGCTTCTTCAGTTTGTAAACTGACACTCAATAAAAAATCATTTAGACAGATTCAAAGCAGAAAGCGTTTCTCCAATCCGAATCACATCGACAAAATGTTTTCTTTGCATTAGAAACTTTTCAAATTATTCCGCTTAACATACAAAAATTTCAATTCGAGAACCTCCAATATAACTTACGTGACAATCGTTTAAGCAAAAAGGCATAATACTTCTAGCACAAATTCAAACTTTATATTTAGCCAAATGAAACAGCAACATCAACATCATGACCACCATGGAATTTTTTATTTAGCTGAACATATTTTTTCAATTACTCATGATTTTTTTCTTAGCCTTTTTGACAAAAGCCTTTTGATACAAAACAACTCTTTGGAAAAAGGAAATATTTTATTTCTCAAATCATATCCCTTTTGAACAAAAAGATCCAACCTTCATACATCTTACAAATCCGCGAAAATGAACGTTCTAGATGAAGGCCAAATTTAAATGATCAAGATTTTTCGTGCCATTTTCAATTTTTGTTCAGTGAGCGTTATGAGCAGTTGAAGTTGAGCCTAACATCAAAACATAAGTAATAGACAATTGGAAGTGTCCAAAAATGCAAGAAAATTAAATCCATAAACAGTTGGAAAAAAATCATTGAACGCTAAGAAACCATGAAAATTCAACTTTCATTTTGAAACATTGCCAAATAATTTAGACAGATTCAAAGCAGAAAGCGTTTCTCCAATCCGAATCACATCGACAAAATGTTTTCTTTGCATTAAAAACTTTTCAAATTATTCCGCTTAACATACAAAATTTTCAATTCGAAAACCTCCAACAAAACTTACGTGACAATCTTTTAAGCAAAGAGGCATAAAACTTACGTGACAATATACATACAAAAAAGCAGAATAGCTAAAAAAAATCAAACATAAGCGTGAACTAATTTAGGGAATTTTGCCTCTAGAAAAAACTTTAACAAAAACACAGGGCCTAAACAAGTTTCTTCAGTTTGTTCAGTGACACTCGATAAACCTGAAATTAGACCAATGTAAAAAAAATTGCTAAAAGCGTTGCTCCAATTCAAATTACATCACTGAATTGATTTTTTAGCATTAAGAATGTTCAAATTTTCTGAAGTCTTCCGCTCTACATACAAAAATTTCAAGTCAATTACGTCCAATGAAACTAACGTGACTGTGAGCATAAGAAACGAAGCAGAAAAATTCTAGCGTACCAACTAAATAAAATAGTCACGAATGCAAACAAAGTGTCACGAATGTAAAAAACAAAAAAAAGCTTTCGAACTATCAAATAAGATACGGTCCTAGGTCTATTTTAAATGTATTTCTTTCTGTTAAACTAACCCAATTGAGGAATCAGGATCGGAAGGTAAGTCTTTCATTCCACTGGGCGATCTTCATATTAAAATCTATTTTTGAAATTTGTAGTCGATCACGTTTTAGTAACCTTTACACTTTTGCTGATTGATAGTGGAGATCGCCTTCCTTTTAAAATAGGAAAAGTGAAGAATTTCAAAAAAAACGACATATCAAACCGCAAAAAAATGAAATTTGATCATGAACTTCGTCACGACTAAATAAGAAACTTCACTACGGTCAATGGTTTTTAGAAAAACCTGATTTTCAAAAATTACAGTCCACTTCTGAAGCTAGAAATCGATCGTTTTTTTGTGGTCTTTAGACTTGTTTGAATTTGAACTTGGCCTTCTTTTTATTCGTTTTAGCAAAGGAAATGAGCTGCACTATAAAAAATCAAGACTCGAACGGCAAAAAAAAATCAACTTAAGCGTCAAACAATTTCAATTTTTTCGAAATAAGCTTCTTCAGTTTGTTCATTGACACTCAATAAAAAATAATTTAGACAGATTCAAAGCAGAAAGCGTTTCTCCAATCCGAATGACATCAACAAAATGTTTTCTTTGCATTAGAAACTTTTCAAATTATTACGCTTAATATACAAAATTTTCAATTCGAGAACCTCCAAAAAAACTGACGTGACAATGGTTTTAAGCAAAGAGGCATAAAACTTCTAGCACAAATTCAAACTTTATATTTAGCCGAATGAAACAGCAACATCAACATCATGACCACCATGGAATTTTTTATTTAGCTGAACATATTTTTTCAGTTATTCATGATTTTTTTCTTAGCCTTTTTGACAAAAGCCTTTTGATACAAAACAACTCTTTGGAAAAAGGAAATATTTTAATTCTTAAATCATATCCTTTTTGAACAAAAAGATCCAACCTTCATACATCTTACAAATCCGCGGAAATAAATATCCTAGATGAAGGCCAAAAAAAAAATTCAAATTTTTTTCGTGCCACTTTTCCAATCTTTCACGTTGTTTCGTGCCATTTTCAATTTTTTTAAGTGATTGTTACCAGCAGTTGAAATTAAATTGAAAATCAAAACATGAGTATCAGACAGTTGGAAGTGTCAAAAAGCTCAAGAACGCAGAAAACTAAATCCATAGACAGTTGGAAAAAAACCATGAAAATTCAACTTTCAATTTCAAACATTGCCAAGAGGCAGTTGGAAAAAAGTCACGACCGCGAAAAACAAATCTTTCTAAACTTAAAAAAATATATCGCCACAGGGTTCTCTGCATTTCAAACACGTTTTATGATTGACACTTTTACATTAATAATCACCCACTTAGAATTCTGGATGACAAAGTAAGTTTTTCATTCCGATAGGAAGTCTTTATATCAAAATTCATTTTCAAAACAGTCGATCGTTTTTTTAGGTCCTTTACACTTTGCTCATCGATATCGGAGATTGCCTTCCTATCAAATTCGGAAAAATAGTGAGTTTTGAAAAAAAAAATCACAGATCAAACCCCAAAAGAAACTCAATTTTGAGCATGAACATACTAAAAATTCTCTTGAAGCAAAAACAAAAAGTATCATCACGACCAAATAAGAAAAATCAAGACGTTCAAAAAAATTTTAATAAGGGGCCATTCAAAAACTAATTCCACTTCCGAAACTAAAAATCGATCACTTTTGTGTAAATTTCAGACAATTTTGATATTGCAGTTGGCATTCTATTTAGTCTTTGAACAAAGGAAATAGGCTGAACTTATGAAAAAAAATCAAAGTCGAAAGGCAAAAAAAAATTAAAAAATCAAACTCAAGCGTGAACTAATTTAGGGTTTTTTTTTCCTGAAAAAAAAACACATTACAAAAAAAACAGGACCTAAACTAGATTCTTCAGTTTGTTCATTGGAACTCGATAAACGAGAACTGAGGTTGTTAAGATTCAATAAGAAAAGCAATTCGAAGAAAGTGCAATAACACCTGATTTTGTCCAACAGGAATTTTTGCTCTCGAAACAACGCAATATCAATTCATTGTGCCATTAAATATAATCTGAAACTGCTTAATCGAAAAAAAAACAAAACATAAAATTAATTAAAAGCCCAGTACCAAATAAAACTAAATTTAGTTAAAAAAACGGGAAATGATCCGACGGAAACTAGGCCGAAAACTACAAATCCGAACAAAAATCAAGGTTTTCAAGAAATTTTTCGTTATTAGAAAACAAACTAACACCGGTTACTTCCTAGAAGAATGTGGTGATGTATGAATTTTCAAAGAATTGAGCTTGTCTGAAATTGACCATTCCTACACATTGAACATTCTTTGTCTGAAGTTATTTACGGAAATAAATCTAGTGCCCGCTTGCAATACCATAGCTTCCATTTCAATAAGCCGAAAACACGCAAGAGAAATGTCAACTCGGATAAATCTCAGCAACGAACCCGCAAATCTTTTAAATTGGACAGAACTTTTTCCAAAGACGCTTTAAACTTTTGTTTTTTTTTTCAAAAAATTGATTTGTTTTTGAGAATAAAATTTATCGGGCTCGCAGAACCGCATCATTGTACATGGACTTTCCCCAGTAGAATCAATTTTGAATTTCGCTAGCGCCGGAAGAAATACTTTTCGCGGGTCGTATATCCGTTCTTATCGCTCAAATACAACTTGGACGAAACCCAGTCTAAAACCTGACTTAGAATTGACAAGATATTTGTTAAAAGGTGAATTTATTATGACAAAATAATAGAACGCAGTTCGTATGAATCTAGTACTATTTACTGCGTAGCTACATAGATAGACAAGGGATATGTTCAGCAGGTTGGTTAATCATCTAACATCAGTAACTCTAACGGTAATACAATCAAGCAATGAACAGCCATAGATGAGGGAAACATATACATAAGCTACGGCAAAAAAAATATATTCCACTTATTCATTTAACTTTGTCGTTGATAAGTGCTGCGCAAATTTACAAATTAATCAGAGCTTACTAAATTCATAGGTTTTCTTAGCAATTTTCATCGATACCATTTTTTTTCATTTGAAATTTTTTCATCGATTTGATTTAGTAAAGCTCCTTTATGTGGAAAATTAATAGAAAATTAGTGCATTTCTTGCAAGCCAGGGGAAAATCCTTTTTCTTCAATTTAAGATACGCAAAGCAATTAAATTCCTTCTCTGTTCATTTTGAATCCATATTCAAACAATTTAATTACAGCCACTGGTGTTTTCATTGAATCGATTTTTTAAAACAAAATTGTGGACAAGCAGTTTAAAGCAAGACCCACTCCTCAATCTCAATTATTCATTCAAACGTCTTATTAAAAGTCATTGAGCGTCATAATAAACAATTACTTAGTTAAAAACGGTGAATTTTAGCTTCAGCAATTTTTGTTCAAGAAAGTAGCAAAATATCTGGAACATTCATTAACATACCCTAAAATCAAGAGTTATTTAGCTTGAAATTTATCAGAGTTTTAAGAAATTTTGTCTACTTTCTCATCAATAATCATGAATTAAGTTATGCGTTAATTCAAACAATTAATTTAAACCATAGCCCAAATGTTGCGAGTCTATTTCTACATTGACATCTATGTTTCAGGTGACTCATTGTGTTCGGTTTATAGTTTGACCTTGAAATGGCGTGATTAAGTTCTGACAATCATGTCATCGTCGTCGTAGTCGTCTCCGTTGACGGATGTCTGCAGTCTACCATAGGGCACATTGCTAGCATCAGAATTATCCGGATTATCTAAACAAAAAGAGTTTTTGAATTGTAAGCTAAGTAGAACTCTTCTGGCCTTAATTTAACAAAATTGCGGTCAAATTATTTCCACTCCTATTTGCATAGTCTCACAAGCAATTTCTCGTCGCAAAGAAATTCGCCTTAAAATTGATTTCGCAACCACTCGTTCATATCGACTAAACTGCTATGCGTTAGTTATTGCAGCATTCGATATCGAAGTTTTCTCGGAGAAACCAGTAAGGCTATTGGGCCTAATTAAAAAATATTCTCCAAATAAATGAGTCATTGCTTTCCCAACTTCACTGCTGTAAAAGGATGCTATAAGCGTTTTTTCTGTAGATGGCAAAAGTAGATTGAAAAAATTGAGAATGTTTCTTGTGAAACAACACATTCTTTTCGTTCAACATTTTTTTTCAAATTTTGTTCATATTCAAACCGAGTATGGTGACGCTTCCGCCTCCGCTATTGTATATGACAGGCATGTTGACCATCTTCCTCTGCCTCATCAACAGCATCACCACAGAGATGAAGAGCGCCAGAGAGACGAACACCAGGGGCAAGAAGATCTTCAGGAACAGTCTGTCATGCACCAGTTCGTTGAATGTAGTCGAGGCTGAAACATGTTCATTAAAGGCACCTTACTAACCGAATGCTCATTCAATCATCCAACAATCTCTGGTGTTTTGTGGTTTTCCAGCGTTCCAATATCAATAGCAGATAATACTTCGGACAAAGTAACGCGCAGCATGGTCAACTTATATTAGCATTAATTATGGCCAAAAAAGGCTTCGCTAAGTAACGAAAGAGTGTTTTCAATTCAAGTAGTATTTTCATGATTATTCAAATGATTAAATCTAACATGAGGCTTGCAGATCTCTGATGGGATAAGGCGGCGACAACTCTCCTTGAGGACCCTTCACACCCACCAACCCAACCAAGTCTCCTTGCAGAGTATATTCGCTCAGTGCTATTCTCACATAATTAATCTTCTTGTTTTTAGGGTACTTGAAGTTGATCAGGAATGCTTGGTCCTTCGAAGTTTCGCCCAAAATTGTCATTTTGTCTTTGGGGTCTTCCGCTTTTTCCAGTCCATACACAATGTAGCCCTAAGGAAGTTAAAGTTACACAATACATTTTTCATATTGTTTTAATATCAACCTATGACATCATCTTTTACATACCTCATTCGGTTCGTTATTGACTTCTGGTGCCGCCCATGTAATAACATTTTCATTTTTCAGAGCTTCTTTTACAATTGGTGCTCCTCGCTTTGCTGAAATTTAGGAAATTGGCTTAGAAAATTCAATTTCGAGTAATTCTAGCAGGCTTAGTAATTCGGTAAATTTTCCTTAGATTTATAAACAAACTTCCTTCCCTTACAAAAATAATGATTTTTAAATTAAATGTTAAGTTTGATTCCTTGTTTTGATATATCTGAGGTTGGAGCGCGCGAACAAAAAACGCAATTTTTTATTCAAAACTTATAAAAACCTAAAAACTCGTCTCTGGAATGTTCCGCAAAAATGGGCCCGCATCCCCGAAATTTTAGGCTAAATGGGGTCGTTGCAGTGTTTTGCGGGATCTCGGAAAGACAATTGGGTCGAAATAAAAATTATCGATCAAGCTTGAAAATCCCCCTCGAGAAAAATGAACTATAGCTCAACAATTCAGTCTCACCAATAGTGCAGGTAACTGGTTTTGAGTCGTTCAGCCGGAAGTTAGACGCATTTTTGGCACTGACGAAGAATGTGTAATTGATGCCTGGGTTGTCGAATGAGAAGGAGTACTTGACTGTGGCGTTGTTCACACTGATACCGTCTCCGTACTTCCTGAACTGGACTGTGCTGTCCTCCAGTGTACTCTTTCCCATTATTTCATAAGACTAAAATGACAGGAGAGAAATTCTTTGTCGCATTTGCAGAAATAATTGTCACTGGTTCTTATCACCCAAACTATTTATATCTTGAATATCTCAATTTCCTGGTATTAAAAAATTTCCTGGTCGTAACGCGATTTAGTCCTATTCACTTAAACATTGATTTCATTTAAACCTGCTCATTTCTCGTTTTTTATTTCATATTGATTTTGATACATCACATCCCAATTTTTCGGTCAAATTTATTTTGAAAAATTTCTGCCACAAAACGCCTGCAATCTGTTTTTATCATATATCGGCCGAAATGTCTCGTTAAGTTCTTTGGCCAAAATGTTTCAGTTAGTATTGGCTGAAATCTCTGCTCTTTCCAGAATGTTGCGTCAATCGACCCTCTCCTAAATCACTCCTCAACTCCGCTTAAAAGAGCCATAATTTCGAAACTCTTACGTAGTCATTCAGCATAGTTTCCTTGGGTGCCCACCAGGTGAATGAAATCTCGGTCGAGTGTGGCAATGCAACACACTGCAGGTTCCTCGGCGGCATCTTCGGGTCGAATTCAGTGGCACACCTGAGTGTCTTGCTCACAGGTCCCCAGCGAGTGGCCTTCCCAACACCCGCCACCCTTACTGCAAACAGGTAGCCAGTTCCACGAAGAAGTCCACTGATTACCTTTGAGCTCAATTCGCCTTTCTTGCTGGCGTCCGCTTTGATGGGACTCATCATGTTCAGTTCGCCGGTGGTCAATCCGTAGTAGATTGCGAACTTCTATAAACAAATTTATGCTGCATTTTTTAAATATCACCTCTAATTATTAACCAGCTCGTTCGCTAGACCAAAATCTCCTCATCAACTACCTACAATTCTCAATTGTGGCGATGTGGAAATCCACGATCAAAAAGACGAGTTGAAGTTACAAATGCAACAATACATTTGGGTAGCTACAAGAAAGACCTTCAAATGCGATTTAAATATTGTGCATACTGTGATGTTGTAGTTGGCCTCTGTCGCCGTGTAGTTCCATGACAGCCTCACTGACTCGTATCTGGGGTTGTTGGCCAGGGAGCAGCTCAGTTGGGAGATGGAGGGCAGTCTCTGTCCCACAGTGTTGAACACAAGTGGCTCCGATCTCACACTCTGCTCTGAGTCCACCAGAGTCGACACCTGCATCAACAAATTCAAACTCTTAGAAGAGGTCCGTTAGTGCTGCATATAAAGCAGAAGGCCAGGTCAACTTATTATTAAGAAAACATGGAAAAAACTATTGAACTATCTTAAAAGAGACTCCATCCCCTCCTCGCGAAAAGGCGCGTATGTTCTATGTTTACTTTTTTCGATTATTCATACTCAACATTTGAAATTGACAAGGGACGGTTGGAAAAGTTTCAATGAGCTCAAGAAATTGAAAAAAAAAATCACATTTTTCAACTTCCGAAAAAACCATCACGATAAATGAGCTGATAAAAGATCTGTTCAAATTCAGCCAGCATTATGCTGTAATAATATCTCACCTCTATGCTGTACTGTTCTCCCGGAGACAAGTCCCTTATCCTGTACTCTGTTGCATCTGGCGAAGTGATGATCACCTTTTCTCGCCCACTCGTGGTGTCACTCTTCATCGTCATTCTAATCAGGTACTTCTAAAAAAAGGCCAAACTGCACCCCTGTACAAGCATCAAAACGATAGGAAAATGGCTTAAACAGTACTGTTGAAAACTATTCTTTTAAGCCACAGTAAAGCATGGAGCAGAACATGAAACAGATCTGTGAGGCAACGGGGCTCGATACCTCCCCTCCCCTCCCCTCCCATCCTGCTTTAGATAAATTTAAAAAACGATTATGAGAACAAACGGGAAAAAGCTATCTTACCGCTCACTTTTTCAAACAAAGATCCCAAAACACAAGATTAATACAATAAAAGGGGTTTTTAAAAAAGATAATACGACCGCAGCAAATAGTTACAATTTACAACACTTTTAGAATTAGAAACTTGAGCTATGGCAAGAAAATCAATATTATTTCTGCATCTAATTCTTGTTCAATAAGGGCAAGGGTAGACAATAAATCTGGCGACAAACCGGCGTTACTTTATGCAGTTCCACTTTCTCCCACTGGATTGTGACCTCATTTGCTATGGCGTCCTCGGCTGGAGACTTTATGTGTACATTCTTGGGAAAGTCAGAGGGTCCGATGATTGAGTCCAGTTTGAATTTGAACGCTTCCGATCGGGGTCCTTTGCCTGCCCCGTTGATTGCGGCCACTTGGATCAGGTAGTCAGAGGTGCTGTTCAGTTCTAATGCACGAGACAAGGTTAATATATATTGTTCAAACTATGTTAACTCTATCAAAAAAGCAGACATTTTTGACGTAAGTTATGTTTCTGATGTCTCGAACTTGGCTTTTGTAGAGGAATATTTTGATAAAATTCGCCAAAATGGCCAGTTTTAGATTTTTGAGGGGTTTGCACAACAATATGCGCTTTAAGGCAACGCATATCGACATCCTTGCATACTACATTAGGTGCTACTATTCGCTGAATCTGTGTGCTAAACAAAAACAAACAATTTTATGGTAATTCCAAAAATCATTGCAATGCCGCTAAAAACATCTGAAGAAAATTTCGTTGCGGTATAAACTTCAAACTGCCAAGGGCAACTCACTTATTCTACCATAGAAATTGTGTTATGCATGAAACTAAGTAATAACCAACTAAACAGCATTCATCCTCTGCTCTTACATGGTGACATAGTACCAGATATCAATTGCCTTAGTTACATTATTTCTTTGCTTTAGCTGGTGAAGAATTCAAAATCAAATTTTTAGTCTAAATACTTTCAATAGCTCGTTCGATATTCAAGAAATCAACAAAAAAATAATACAAAACTGAGAACCAACTCAAAATCTGTTGGAAAGACTGCTTCGTCCCGTCGGCTCCAACCAACACTTTCTGCTCTAGTCCTGTCTCCGCACACTTGTAGTATATCTCATAGTTGTCTATTTCTCCATTTGTCTCACTCGGCTCCGACCAACTAACAACTGCCTCTGATACCGATCCCCTATCTTCGACCACCGATACTTTCTCAGGCTTCGAAGGAATCGATTCCAGAGTTCTGAATGTTCGAGGCACAGTTGCGTTTTCAGTGGTCGATTTGTTAGCAAATTCGACGTACGCAGACACTTCATAGACGGCACTTGGGTCCAAATTGGTGAGCTGATAGTTGGTGCTGGTCAGATCAGAGATGGATTCTTTGACCCACCTTCCTGGATTGCTCGAAGAGGTCTTCTTTCTAAAAACAATTTACATCACAAAAATCTCGCATCACAAGATTTCAATCATATAAGGCTTATTAACCAAACAATGAATCACGAATACCTACAATGCCAAAAATTCTGGGATTTTTTTTAGTAACTAGGGAAAATTCTAGAGCTACTAATTAACGTAAATAGTGCACACATCCTTACGCTTTGTGTAGCATCCTAGAACGCACAGCAAAAAATTTCAAGGCATTCTTGAGCATTATTTCTTTGCTACATATTCCTTGTTATTTTTAACGCAAAAAGGAATCGGAGCATCACAAACCTTAGCACGCCCAATATATAAAATGAAAAAAAACTATTGATTTGAAAAAAGGGTTTTTGAAGTTTTCGAAAATTAGATTGATCAAAATATTTCACGTTTATCTCTATTTGTCTCGAAGGAAGCTAAACATAACCAATCGAAGATTGGAAAAGAGTAATGAATGCAAGTAAGCAAAGAAAACCGACTTGTTTTGTCAAAAACCTTCAACTTTTGAATTTCGAAAAAAATAGATGACTTTAAAGCTCTTTGACTTTGTAGAACTATTTATGATGGCCACTTTTTTTGCTAAAAATGACCCAATTTGAGATAACTGGATCAATAGGTAAAAATTTTTATTTTGCTGGGAAATCTGATAAATAAATTTCCATTTTCGAAATTAGAAGTCAAACACGTTTTTCGTGATCTTTAAAATTTTGCTGTTCGATAGTGGAGTTCGTCTTCCTTTTAACAAAAGAAATACACTAGAAATAGACTTGAAGAAAAATCACGAGTCAATCCGCAAAAAATCAAAATTGAGCGTGAACAATTTTTTTCCTGAAAAAAAATAACAAATAGTTCAGCAAGACCTATATAAGAGTACTCACTACGTTCATTACTCTTGATAATGATGAAACAACCATTACCAGCAATAGTTAACAAACAATGAAAGAAAAATTACAGAGCGGTGAAAAGGCCGAGAATCCATGATTAGACTTAGACAACTGTTTCCTCGAAATTTTTTTTTTTGTAGTACAAGACACTACATCAAAACATAGCCAACTGACCGTGGGAAAAGAGTAATGACCATAACGAAACAGGAAAAAAACTGACAAAAATTTGCGAAGCTTTAAGAAATATTATATGCACCTAGACCTCTGAATTTCACAGCAATTTATGTTTGACCATTTTTTGACACAAAGGCAAAGCTTCGTTTCGCAAACGTTAGCGAGAACACGGCAAAAAGCATCTCTATAAAAGGCAAGCTCTAATTCAGAAACCTCTGATTTTCCAATCTACTACCTAGAGATTGAGATACTCACACAATAACCACTCAGCCACGGAAGTTTCATAGGTATCAAAGACTAGCCACCAATTAAGCAAAGAACAGATGCAATGATATTTTCAATGCACATTGAAATTTCCAAATAAGCGAACACTTTTAATGAACGCTTTTATTTGCCACTTAGGTTAGAAACAGGGCTCGCAATAACACACTAAGCTGATCGCGTGTGCAATAAAAATTAACCCATTTGAGAAAACGGGATTCATAGGTAAAAATTGTTATTTTCCTGGGTAATCTGATAATTAAATTCAATTTACAAAATTAGAAGTCAATCTTGCTTTTTGTACCTGAAACACTTTTGCTGTTTGATAAAAAATTGCTTTCCTTTTAACAAACGAAAGAAAATGAACTTGAATTGAAAAAAAAATCAAAAGTTACAGCGAAAAATCAGAACTGAGCTTGAACAAAATTTCAGACATTTTTCTGAAAAAAACTCATCAAGACCTATCATTACTTTTAAAAAACAACAGAATGTTGCAAAAGAGTCAATGAACGCAAGAAAGCAAACACCTTAAGCAACAGACAGTTGGTAAAGAGCCAATGAACGCAAGGAAAAGAAAAACTAACTTAAGTTTTGTGAACCAACCCTTTTGTAGGAACAAGTTTGAAATTTTTAGTAATACAATTTGCATCTTAGACGTTTTGGTGCCAAAATCATTGACTGATTTGCAGTTGCAGATATTTTGACGCCAAATTTTGAAAGATTTCTTAATTATCCAGTTTATTTTTTTCCCGCTTTAGAAGAAGCGGTTAAAAAATTCCAAAACTATCCCGCCATTTTCGGCACTGTTGAAAGCTTCCAAAACATCACGACCTACATGTTTCGAAATTCAAACAAAAAAAGACTTGAAGCTCTTTGATTTTCAATCAGAGTTTATGATTGACACTTTGTTGATGAAAATCATTCAACTTGAAAAAAAAACTGGATCAGTAGGTGAAATGTTTAATCCACTGGAAAATCTGCAAAAAAAAATTAACTTTCAAAAATATTCGATCAAACTTTTCGTGACCTTTATACTTTTGCAGTTCGATAGTGAATTTTGCTTTCCTTTCAAGAAAGGAAATGAGCTGAAACTGAAGAAACAAAAAATCAAACAACAAAAGTAAAATTGAGCCTGAACACATTTTTAGGTTTTTGAGAAAAAAAAACGGAGAATAAAACAATCGGGACCTATATAAAAGTCTAAATATGTTCATCGTTTCTTAATCAAAATTGAAACCACGAAGAAGTAAAATTGAGTCAGAAGAAAACTAAGAATTTGTGCGAAGCAATGAGATAGGTATGGAGATCCACTTTTGAAACTGAAATCAAGCTTCGTTTTCTGCAATTTGCCTCTTTCTGGCATTGGAGAGTGTGATTTGCCTTCTTTGTAGCAAATAAATTTGTAGTAGAATTAGGAAGTTGAAATTCAAACCACTATAACAAAGTTGAACCCGAACAATTAATGGTTTTTCCTCAAAAAAAACACTCGAAAGAAAGAAATGAAGTATCTTTAATTAACACTTCATCATTCATTGAACCACAACCTTTAGAAGACATTTCCTTTCTTCAATTAAACGGAATTTTGACACCGATACGAAGCTACACCTTGAAAATACAAGCGGAAAAAAGAGGAAACTACAGAAATCAGCATTGAAAGAAAATCAACTGAAATACAAGAAGCAAAAGAATGCAAAAGCATTAAGAACTGCAAAAGATTGCTCGAACATGAAGTCGAAGCCCTGAACGATCCGACTTCGCAAACATTAGCAAGATTACGACAAAAAGCAGCTCTGTAAAGTGCAATACGAAAAAAGAAATAAGCCTCGAATCAGTGAAAATTCGACCACGAGTCGGATTCGATCATGCGACCAAGACATTATGAGTTTAACGCACTAACCACTCAGCTACGTAAGCTTAATTCATTATAAAAACCAGCCATAATTAAAGCAGAATAGATGCTATGAAACTTCCAATGCTGCCGATCGTGATTATAGCAGAAGTGCTACCAAATAGGTTAACAGGCTTTTAAGGGCAGAAAAAAACTGACTTGTTTTTTTGAAAAACGTCCACTTTCGAAATTTAAACATAAAACAATTTACGATTGACACTTCAAGTTGAAATTTGCCTGAAACAAACACCCTATATAAAAAAATATTCTGAATTTTCTTCGAAAGTCGGAACAATAATATAAATTGAGTTTAGTAGGGAAAAACTTGGACCAATTAGTTAGACGAGAACACGGCAAAAAGCATCTCTATAAAAGGCAAGCTCTAATTCGGCAACCTCTGATTTTCCAATCTACCACCTAGAGATTGAGATACTCACAAATTAACCACTCAGCCACGGAAGCTTCATAGATATCAAAGACTAGCCACAAATTAAGCAGAGAACACATGCAGTGATATTTCCAATGTACATTGAAATTTCCAAATAAGCGAACGCTTTTAATGAACGCTTTTATTTGCCAGTAAGGTTAAAAAAGGGCTCGCAATAACAAACTAAGCTGATCACATGTGCAATGAAAATTAACCCATGTGAGAAAACGGGATTCATAGGTAAAAATTAATATTTTTCTGGGTAATCTGATAATTAAATTCAATTTACGAAATTAGAAGTCAATCTTGCTTTTTGTACCTTAAACACTTTTGCTGTTCGATAAAAAAAATGCCGTATCTCCAACAAACGAAAGCAAATGAACTTGAAGTGAAAAAAAAAATCAAGTTACACAGCGAAAAATCAGAACTGAGCTTGAACAAAATTTATGACATTTTCCTAAAAAACCTCACCAAGACCTATCATTACTTTTAAAAAACAATAGACTGTTGGAATAGAGTCAATGAACGCAAGAAAGCAAAGACTTTAACCAACAGACAGTTGGAAAAGAGCCAATGAACTCAAAAAAGAGAACAACTAATTTAAGTTTTGTGAACCAGCCCTTTTGTAGTTCGATAGTGAACTTTGCTTTCCTTTCAAGAAAGGAAATGAGCTGAATTTGAAGAAACAAAAAATCAAACCATGAAAAAGTAAAATTGAGCCTGAACACACTTTATGGTTTTTCCTGAGAAAAAAAACGGAGAATAAAACAATCGGGACCTATATAAAAATCTAAATATGTTCATCGTTTCTTAATCAAAATTGAAACCACGGTAAAGTAAAACTGAGTCAGATGAAAACTAAGAATTTGTGCGAAGCAATGAGAAAGGTATGGAGATCCAATTTTGAAATTGAAATCAAGCTTCATTTTCTGCAATTTGCCTGTTTCTGGCATTGGAGAGTGTGATTTGCCTTCTTTGAAGCAAATGAATTTGTAGTAGAATTAAGAAGTTGAAATTCACACCACCAGAACAAGATTGAACCCGAACAACTATAATGGTTTTTCCTAAAAAATACTCAAAAGAAAGAAATGAAATATCTTTTATGAACACTTAATCAATCATTGAACCACAACCTTTAGAAAACATTTCCCTTCTTCAATTAAACGGAATTTTGACACCGATACAAAGCTACACCTTGAAAATACAAGCGGAACAACGAGAAAACTACAGAAATCAGCATTGAAAGCAAATCAACTGAAATACAATAAGCAAAACGCAAGAAGCAAAAGCATTAAGTACTGCAAAAGATTGCTCGAACAGGACTGCTCGAACACGACTGCACTTTGAGATCAACCAAAAGCTTCGCAAACACTAGCAAGATTACGACAAAAAGAAGCTCTATAAAGTCCAATACGAAAAAAAGCCTCGAATAAGTTCTCGAAAAGCCTCGAAAAAAATTCATTCAAGTCGGATTCAATCTTGCGACCGAGACATTATGAGTTTCACGCTGATCACTCAGCCACATAAGCTTAATTCATTACAAACACCAGCCACAAGTAAAGCAGAGAATAGATGCTATGAAACTTCCAATGCTGCCGATCGTGATTATCGCAAAAGTGCTACCACATAGGTGAACAGGCTTTTAATGACAGAAAAAAAACTGACATGTGACATGTTTTTTGTAAAACATCAACTTTCGAATTTTAAACAAAAAACATATAGCTTTCAGGCTCCTCGAATTTTAGGAGCTATTTACCATTGACACTTCAAGTTGAAATTTGTCTGAAAAAAACAACCGAAATAAAAAAATATTCTGATCTTTCTTCGAAAGTCGGAACGATAATATAAACGGAGATTAGTAGGGGAAAACGTGGACCAATTAAACTTGAGTTTAAAAGCTCTTCCAAATTTAGGAGCAATTTATGATTGACACTTCAAGTTGAAAATTGTCTGAAGAAAAAACACCCGAAACAAATTAATTATTCTGAAAGTCGGAACAATATAAATTGAGTATAGTTGGAAAAACTCGGACAAATTAGTTGGCCTCAAACCGTTTTTGAATAATAACTTAAGCTGTCAGAATATGGATAAGATCACCGTGCTCGAATAAGTGCATCATAGATAAATGGATATAAGTGTGCAAAATTTTCTCCAGAGAAATGACAAAATTGACTTTCAATCTTCCAAACCTTTGGGAAAATGATCGCATAAAGGCATTTTTCATATATGAGCTGGTCTTTTAAAAAACAACATAGTTGGAAAAGAGTTAAGGAACGCAAGAAAGCAAAACATATAACCAACAGACAGTTGGAAAAGAGTCAATGAACGCAAAGAAAAGAACAACAGGCTTAAGTTTTAAAAACCAGCCCTTTTAGAAGGAACAAGTTTGAAAATTTTAAAATCCGCAATCAATGATTAAACGGCTGTCATAAATCTTAAGTCAAGAGCCTCCAAACTTTTGAGTGATACCATTTGCATATTTTGGCGCCAAAATCATTGACTGATTTTTAGTCGCAGATATTTTGACGCCAAAATTGAAAGATGTTCTTTGTTATCTAGTGTATTATTTTCCCACTTTAGAAAATGCGGTTAAAATATTCCAAAATTTTCAGGCCATTTTCGACACTGTTGAAAGCTTCCAAAACATCACAACCTACATGTTTCGAATTTCAAACAAAAAATATTGACTTGAAGCTGTTTGATTTTCAATCGGAGTTTATAATTGACGCTTTGTTGATGAAAAATCACTCAACTTGAAAAAAACTGGACCAGTAGGTGAAATGTTTAAACCACTGGGAAATCTGCAAAAAAAATCAACTTTCGAAAACAGTCGATCAAGATTTTCGTGACTTTATATACTTTTGCTGTTCGATAATGAATTTAGCTTTCCTTTCAAGAAAGGATATGAGCTGAAATTGAAGAAACAAAAAATCAAACCATGAAAAAGTAAAATTGAGCCTGAACACATTTTTAGACTTTTCCTGAAAAAAAAACGAAGATTAAAACAATCAGGACCTATACAAGAGTCTAACTACGTTCATCGACTCTTAAACAAAATTGAAACCGCAGAAAAATAAAATTGAGCCTGAACAAATTTAAGAACTTCTCCGAAACAATGAGAAATGGATGGAAATAAAAAATATTCTGAACTTTCGAAAGTCGGAACAAAAATATAAATTGAGTTTAGTAGGGAAAAACTTGGACCAATTAGCTGGCCTCAATTCATTTAAGAAAAATAACTTAAGCCGTCAGAATTTGGATAAAGTCACCGTGCTCGAATAAGTGCGCATCATAGATAGATAAATGCATATAAGTCAGCATAATTTTCTCCGGAAATGACAAAAATGGTCTTTCAATCCTCCAAACGTTTGGGGAAATGATCGCAGAAAGTGATCGAGAAAATATATGGAGAAGGATGTGCCTCTAGCGTTGGAAACGCTTGGACTGACCGCATAAATCTACGCTCGGGTACGAACTAAATACTTCACCTCCATTTGATCCAGATGAGCTTGACTCCGGTCTTGTCTTTGATCTGGTCCCAGTTGGCAGCAGCTCTGTTGGCTTCGATGTGGCTCATCATTATGGATTTGATGCCAGAAGCAGAACACAGAACAGCGTCCTCGTCCGATTTGTCTGAAAAAAGAACAATCAGGTCAAGTGAACATTTAATCCTCAAATATTGTGAAAAAAAAATTCCCGCCAGTATTCGACAATCAATGTACTAAAATTTTTGCAGCAAATTAAAAGCTCAATTCAAACAAAAGCTCAATTTGTGAAGGTATACGTTCAGAATATCAATTTCTTGTGAAGTCTATTGCCAAAAATTGATTAGGTCTCGGTTTCTTAGTTACCAAATCAAAATATTTCTAACCGACAGCTAGGAAAGTGCCTATACACTCAAGCGCACCCAATCAATTATTGGATTTTTTCGAAAAAGTTCAAATTTTTGAATTTTAAAGGAAAAATGTATCAGCGTGAAGCTATTTGAATTTCAAGAACAATTCCCCATTAACGCTCGTTTGAATATAAACTAACAGACAGAGACGATGCGGAGCCTCGCACCACTTGCGACACAAAGCAAGAAAGCCGCTAAGTCGAAAACAATTTTTAAAAAAAGCTATAAAGTTTTGAAATCTAATGTTTTTTGTTTTTACGACCCATCTCTCCTGAATCCTTAAAAAAATACGAAAAAAATATGCTTTCTAGACAGCGGAATATCAAATAATTACGCCGATATAACAAAAGCTCAAAAACGTGGAGCAAAAATAACCAAAATCATAAATTTTATAAAACAGCATTCAATTATAGTAAAAACGCTTTTAAATTAATTAAAAACCATTCACTAGAAATTAACCAGCTAAAACGTACCAAATAATAAAATCGCATTTAAAAAATGAAACGACACAAATTAAGACGAAAACCACGAACACGAAAAAAATTTTTCAATGGGTTTAATTGAAAAAATTATTTAGTACCTGCCATGAACTACAGCGCAGTTTTATTTTTAAAAATTCAAGAAACTTAGCATGTCAGAAATAACAGCAGCTTTTTGTAAGAAAACTTGATTACGGGAAAAAAAGTCTAGTTCCCGATTACAAGTACAATTGCTCTCGCAAGTTCAATAATTTGAGAAAAGTGGATCAATAGATAATTTTCTTTTTCTGCTTCTAAATCTAAAATTAATACAGAAGCTGAGCGGAGATTCACATCACTTGCGATACAACACAATCATAAAAGCTGAGAGCAAAAATATTGAAAAAAATTAGGTGAACAAAAATTTTCGTATAACTCCAGTGCCCAGCTATAGCTGGATATACGTGTTTGATATTTTTTGAATTTGTTTTACTGATGCGGAACAAAATATGTAATTTCAAAAATTGGACTTCGCCCAAAAACTTAGTTGTTTCTCTACTAAGTTAAATAAGCGTAAAAATTTAGGAATTTCCCCAAAGACAACACGTCTCTTCCTAAAAAAAACATAAAGTAGCCTTTCCTGCACGAGAAATTCGGGCAACCGTTTCTTTCGCTTGAACTTTTCCTCTCAGATTTTCTAAGGTAGTTTTTAAAAAATTCTACAAGTTTCTTAAAAAAACTGTCACAAATCACAAACTTCGACTTTTCGAAATCAGTATCTTTTTTCTTGTGGTTGAGCAGAGATTCCCAAAAAACGGTCAAACAAAAATCAAAAGTTTCACTATTCCGAGAACCACAATTTTATGTGTTTTAAAAAGTTGGGCTCAGCCGCTTATGGAGTCGAGTTTTCCAAATCCAATCTCTTCATTTAGACAGAATCAAATCTTTGGTACTTTAGTTTTTGAGAAAACGAAAAAAAAAATCAAAAATATCGGTCTAAAATCCCCCCACAGACATTTTCGAACGCTGCAGACAAAGTGCTAAAGCAAAAAGAGACCGGGAGAGTATGCAGAAACACAACAGTGTAAGCGGTCTTTCTATGGGTACCCTTTTTTGAAACTCGGTAAAAGGGTTTTTGAGAATACTAAATTTGTTGCGAAAAGTGCTAAAATTCTTCAAAGCGTCTCAAAAAACCATAAAACCCAATCCCATACACTTTCATAATAACTATTTTTATTGAACAAGAAGTCTAGGCAAACAAACCACGCAAAAAATTCGAAATTGAAAACAGCAACTAAACAATTTTACGAAGCGGAACAAGGCCGACAATCCTTAAGCAGACACCAGTTGAGCCGAAAAAAAAAATCTTTTGAAAGTTTCAAGTCCCCCTGAAAATCTCCTGTTCTAACTAGTGCCTATCCAGTAGTAAATAGTAACTTTGTATCCACCCAGCTAGTACCCACCCAGAAGTGATTCTACTGATTTTGTTAATCAAGCTGTTAAGCCCAAATAAGTCTTCATTCCGATTTCATAATTCTTGCTATCGCAAGCGTAATAAATTAGCAACTGAAAACCAATCACGATCTTTTGCGCCATGAGCACGTTCTTCAAATCAAAAGTTAAACCGCAAAAAAATCAAATTGGAGCGTGAACAACTTGCTTCCTTTCTAAAACATAGCCAACAGACAGTTGGAAAAAAAAGTCAATGAACGCAAGTAAACATAAAAATTACTGCCTTGTTTTTTGAAAAACCTTTAGAAGTTCCAAAAATAACAACTGATTAAAGCTCTTCGAATGTTTAGAACAAGTCATGATTGACAATTTTTTGATTAAATTAGACCAATTTGAGAAGACTGGATAAAATGGTAAAACTTTTATTTCGCTGGGAAATCTGATAATTATTTTCCATTTTGAAATTAGAAGTCGACCACGTTTTTCGTGACCTTTACCTTTTGCTGTTCGATAGTGGAGTTAGCTTTCCTTTTACAAACGAAATGAACTGAATATAAAAAAATCAAAAGTCACACCGCGAAAAAGTAAGAAAAAAAATCATCGCGACCTATTTAAGAGTCTGAACTACGTTCATCGACTCTTAAAAACGCACAACAGAAGTAAATGTACTCTTTTTGTTCAAAAACACTAAAATATACAATGTCGACATGTTTTGCAATAGTTTGAAAGGCTGGATCGTATGATTCTATTTCAGCGTTAATCAGAGATGCATTTTAGCACAGCCTTCTATTCGTACCTTGACATTGAGGAGTTCCGTCACATACGAGCTTGAGGGGAAAGCATTCCGTCTGAAGGGTCTTGCATCTGAAAGTCTCATCCGTGCATTGGTGAGGCTTCCCGTCACCTGAAAACATATTCCTAAATTTTCACCATCTTAACTTTTTGCGCGATAAGAAGTTCATCCCGCTACAGTTTCAGCAGATTTTAATTCCAATAAATGACACAGAGGCGAAGCTTCGCTTCGCAAACACTTGCGAGAACGCGACAAAAAGTAGCTCTATAAAAGGCTACAATAAAAATTAGAAGTGAGCCAAGAAATAGTAAAAATTGGGCTACCTCTGAGATTCGAACCTGCGACCTAGAGATTGAGAGTCTAACACAACACTATCCATTCAGCCACGGATGCTTAGACACAAAACAGTAGCCACAAATAAAGAAGAGAAAAGATGCTATGCAACTTCCAATGTTACAAATGAAATTTCCAAATAAGTGAACACTTTTGATGAACACAATTATATGTGAGTTAGGTTAGAAAAGAAGTTTCGTACTAATACACTGCTCTTTTCAAGCTCGCAAGTGTAAATACATCACTTTAGGTTTCAACTTTGTATTTAGAGCAAAGGATCATTACACCGTGGGAGGGACTGGTTTAAATACACTTACATTCTTTAGTCTCGTCTGATGCATCGCTACAGTCGTACGCGTGGTCGCAATGCCTCTTTTTAGCAATGCATTGGTTCCCCGAGTCGCACATGAAACAGTTTGAATCAGCAACGCACTGGTCTTTGTTGTCCGAGTTCCGTTGGCAAATCTCATCGACTCCATTGGTACCAGGGTCCGGAGTGACAGGATTTCCACAGTATTCTTCGTCACTGTTATCAGGACAATCTTGATAGCCGTCACAGACCACCTAAAACATGCAGAACAGTGAGTAGTGTCCTTGCAGTCCCCTCATTTCTAAAGGTATAATATGTAGTCGAATAAAGTTGATTCCCTAAACACTTGCCTTTGTCCCATTAATAAAATATTGAATGATTCCTAGCCCTAAAGCCATAGCGCATCTAGGATTTTTTTTGGCGAAGCGGCGAACTTTCAAAAAAATTAGTCGAATTTTTTTTAACTCAGTCAAATTGACGTTTCTACCTCTCTCAAAACACTACAAAGACCCTATTTCTTCTAAAATATTCGTAATATAATTTAAAAAAATAACGAAGTAAAAAAAACGAAGTTAAAAAATAACGAAGTTAATACAAGGTGTGACGACAAATGCGATCAATATCATAAGTGTTGTCGAAATATTTCTAGAAGAACATCAGGAGTCTCGGTTTAAGTCCGTTGCTTTTTTAATATCAACAGTGTCATTCAAAACGTTGAAAAGTCTTGCAGTTCGATACCTAAAGTTTCCAGGGCAAACGTTGAATGTACGTGCCGGTTAAGGAGAAGACCTGCGTCGATGAGCCATGTGTATCGTAAGTTGGAAAAAAAACAATGTTAAGTAACTGATATGTCAAGTTAAAAATGTTGGGCGAGTTGATGTGCTGCGTTTGATAAGTGACAGACTCTGATTAGCTTTGTTACATGCCTTTTGAGTGTGAGTGCTGAGTTAGAATCAGACCCAAGTCTTTCTTTCTGTGCAAATTTTTTTCACCCAAAGCACTGAGCGAAGCGTTTGATTTATTCGGCCGAAAGAGATTTGGTGACACTTGATACTTGGTTGTTTTGCAGCTGCTTCTGTCGCCGGTTTTGTTCTTTCTATTTAATAAGTTTGTCACATAGTATATCGTATCTATTTCATAAGTTTATAGAGCTCGTAATAAGTCATAGAGCTCGTCAATCTGAAATGGATGTCATTGTACCAAAGGTGAGACCCTTTAAGTCGTCAGGGGATTGAATACCTACATCCACCTCTGTTAAGCAATATTTCAGTCCAGAAAAAAAACCAACAGAATGGGAAAAGAGTCAATGAACAATTAAACAGAAAATACTTACTTGTTTTTTGAAAAATTCTCAATTTTCGATATTCGAAGAAAAAAATAGATACCCTTTAAGCTAAAAGGATTTGTAGAACAGTTTATTATTGGCAGTTCTTCGATAAAATTAACCCAGTTAGAGAAAACTGGATCAATAAGTAAACTTTTTATTTCGCTAGGAAACCTGGAAATCATATTCCATTTTCGAAACTAGAAGTCGATCAAGTTTTTCGTGGCCTTTATATTTTAACTGTTCGAGTTGTTCGTGGAGTTTGCCTTCATTTAACAAAGAGAAGGATCTGAACTTGAAAAAAAGTCGAAAATCAAACCGCGAAAAAATAGATTTGAGCCTGAACAAATTTTAAGACTTTTCCTGAAACAGAAAGAAAAAAACATCGCGGCCTGTACTATATAAGAGTCTGAAATACGTTCATGGACTCTTAAAAATAAAAATAAGTCTGAACAAAAGGGCACAACAGCAATTCGCCTCGAACCTCAAACCGATGTGTATTGTGCCCTGACTGAATTTTTTCTAGGTTTCTATCAGCACAAATACCTTGGGATCAAAGCAATAGTGCTTGTTGTCGGTGAAGCAAGAGAAACCAGTGCAGTCATCTGTCTCGTTGTTATCTCCGCAATGCTTCTCATCCGACCCATCTGTACAGTCTCTAGTTCCGTCGCAACTGCAAAACGAACAACAAAAAAATATCAAAACTTAATTAATTTCACTCATTGTAGCAAATGAAACCAGTGGCTAATATTGAAAAACGCTAAGTTTAATCAATATGGCCAAACCATTATCCTTTTGTTTATCGCTCATCAAAAATTGAAAGGTTAATGCGTTATATTACACAGAGGCGAAGCTGAACTTCGCAAACACAAGCAAGAGGCGACAAAAAAGAGTATCGAACTCACAGCACGTCGACCACACTATTAAACGACCACTGATTCCAAACAATTAATTGAAAAGCAAATAAGGTGCTTTAAAATTGATATGGAGCATATTGATCGAAGTAAAATGCTAAAACAATTTCAGCACAAAAATTTTGAAACCAGATGTGCGACTTTTATTAAACTAAAAGGATTATCTTCGCTTCGCCAACACTACAAAAAGCAGCTCTATCAAGTGCAATAAAAAAAATCGAAAAGAGACTCGAATTAGTAAAAATCGGCTATGTCTCGGATTCGATCTGCGACCTTAAGAACACGAGTCTCATACACTAACCACTCAGCCACGGACGCTTAATTAGTCACAAACAGTTGCCACTAATACGGCAGAGAACAGATGCTATGAAATTTCAAATGCTACAGTTCGTGATTATAGCCAGTGAACATTTTAATGAACAATTATATTTGCGAGTTAGGTTAGAAAAAAGAAGGCTCGTACTAATACATTACGCGGCTAAATATACACAACGCTACTAACACAATACGCTGTAAAAAAGCGGACTAGTCCTTTTAAACAAGCAATTCTTGTGTAAGCACTTATTTAATGAATCTTAACTTCGTTCAATAGTCAACTTAGTCAACTTCATTTAACTTAGTCAACTTCATTTTGCTGGAAGTTCAAACGCAGAGGCGAAGCGGCGTTTCGCACCATTTGCGATTAAACACAATAACAAAAAAAAAATGGAAAACGTTGAAAAAACTAGTTCTACCAAAAAATAAATTTTCGTACGTCTGGATAGAATTGACTCTAGGCAACATACTAGAAATTGGAAAATTAAATTAGCAACGGAACAAAACTTGCAAAGCGGAAATAAAGCCGGCAATCTTTAAGCAGACACAAATTGAGCAGAAAAAATATGATTTCATTAAAATCTTTACAGTTGTAAGCCCCACATGAGATTAGAACGAACAACACTTGCACTTTCAATTACATAGGAAGTTCCTTACAGCACAAGATAAGAAAAATCAGTCGTCAACCTTTGAGCAGACACCTGTTGAGCCGAAACACAAATTATCTAAAACAAATTGAAAAGTTTCAAGTTCACCTTCCTGAACCTACAAAGAACAGCACTTGCACTTGTTTGAAAACTTTTTCCAGGACAAACCAGATTTTTTATGTGACAACTAAGCCGACAAAATTTCAGCAGAATAAAAAAAGTCCAACAATACAATTTTTACCGATTTTTTTTTTCAATTGCATATTAACTGAAAAAAAAACAAGGTCCGGCTGAGTCGAACTTCAGAACTTAGGGAACAAAGGCGGCAGCGTTAAATCTACGCCGAGTGGGAAGATACCTGGATGTTGTAAATGTTCAATAAAAAACGAGTTGAAGAAAACTAAGACGTGTAAAAAAAGTTGTTTACTGGAAAAATGATTGTTCCAATTTCAAGACACTTGTTCTCGCAGGTGATATAATACCTGATTTTGTTGAACAGAAATTTTTAATCTCGAAACAACAGAATATAAATTTATCATGCCATAAAATAGAAGATAAAACACTTTTACCGAAAAAAAAACTATGAAAAATTTTAAAAACTCAGCAAAATGATGAGTTACAAGCTTTTAACAAGAGTAGAAATCCATGCTTAGCAAAATAGCCGAAAACAACAGTTCAGAAAACAACAGTTCAGAAGTAGGGACAAGAAGACGCTAAAAGGAAAAGTAAAAGTAAGTACAGTACCAAAAAAAAAATTTCATTTTAAAAAAAAGGAAATAAACTGAAATAAATTCGGAAACTAGGCCGAAAACCACGAATCCCAAAAAAAATCTACATACCGAATCCAAAAAAAAATCTACATTTTTCCAAGAAAATTATTTGAAAGCAAGCTAACACAGGAAACGGACTACACTTATTTATTAGCTAAAGCAAGTTAATTTCATTTGAAATTTCAAGAAACTGAGCATGTCTGAAATTGAGCATCTCTGAAACTTACCATTCCTACACATTGACCATTCTGTGCCTAAAGATATTTACGCGAAAAAAAGTCGTGACCGATTGCAATTCACATAAAACAAAGATAAGATTCAAACTTCGTATAATTCTTTGTTTTTAAGGTTAGAGATAGTTATTTGAGCACCTCGTTGGAAAAAGTTTGAATAACCAGCATCATCAAAAATAATAAAATGAATCCTCCAAAAAAAAAAAGGCGCGTAAACAGATTTTGAGACGTGTACTGAAAAAACCAACCAAGGTCTTTTCACTTAGAAATTATCACCTGGATAAAATAGTTTTGTTCATGAAAACCTCGCAGCCTACCTCCATTCACTATTGATGCAGAATCCACTGTCACACAGGAACTGATCAGGGGGACAGTATCCATTCGTCTGTGGGGTGTAGTCGCAGTCTAGCTCGTCAGTTCGGTCTTTGCAGTCGGCAACATGGTCACAGAACCAACTCGCCCTAAATTACAAACAAGCTCGAAATAATGCTCAAGTTGGCAAAGGACAGTAGGAGGTATTATAAAACCAAGAACATAACCAACAGACAGTTGGAAAAAAGTCAATTAACTCAAAACACCTGAAAACAAAAAGACTGAACATATTGGAAGCAATTTCACGAAAAAAGGATGTTCTAAAGCTTTCAGCTTTTCAAGAATCTTAATGGTTGAACTTCTTTTCTAAAACTAACCCGGAATTGAAAAAAAGGATCACGAGTAATTTTTTAATCAGCTGAGGAATTTCTTATGAAAATCCACTTTAACTAAAAGTCATCAACTTTATTTGACGCCATTTACACTTTTTTTTGCAGCGCGTAATGTGCTGCCTGACATTGGTCAAATTAATTTAAATTGAACTTACAATAAAATCAGAAGTCAGACCACAAAAAAATCAAATTTGAGCGAGAAAAAAAAACAAAAAAAAACGACCTGAACAAATATATTTATTCATTGATAGTTGAAACGTAGTGTTTTGGTTGAATTCCTACAAAATTTTTGAAAAACCATGAATTTCTTGAAATGGCAGGTTAGATACAAAAAGAATTTAGTTATGTGGCGCTCAATGCTAGGTTTTTTTTTAAAACATTTTGTCAGAACTTTTACTTAACGCATCAAATTATCTAATTTTTTGGTGCATTTTCATTTTGGCTGTATATTGGGGACAGAAGCTTGTAGAAACAAGTATTTGTTGACCGGGACAACTGTCGCTGGACGATTAGAAACAAGCCAATGACTATGATCAAAGGTGTCGTGCCTTAAACTTGTCTTTCAGAGAAAAAGTTTCAAAAAAACTTCAAATGGGAGATTTGAATTCAGTTACATACTGGAACATTAAATTCAGTTAAATGATTTTTAAAAGTCAAATCATAACAAGTTGTCTCTTTGAGTAAAACTCTTCCTTCGAATGTAATCTTGCGCGTCGGGGGCATTCCTTGGTGAAGACTGGGGCGCCATTAGTGTGGCAGGAGGCAAGCTGATGTCAATCTTCATTCTATTGTTGCCATTCGTTCTAGCCGAACAGACACGCGCTATAAGGAGTCCAACAAACGGGCAAATCAGCAGAAGCGCTTCAAAAGAAATGCAAACAGGGGCGGATCTAGGATTTTCTCGTGGAGGGGGGTCAGATTTTCAAAAAAAATTCGAAATTTTTGACATTTTTTAGGTCCACTAAATTGATTATCCGAGCAGTTCCAAAGCACTAAAACGATCCTATTTTGTCGAAAATGTTTACCTCGAGTCTGAAAACATATGATAGCCCACAGTAAATTGGAAAATTCAGAATGATCTGAAGCAAAAAAAATTGAAGGAACCGAAAAAAAAAACATTTAATTAAATTTCTTATTTCATCCAAAATTGAGTTTTAAAGTGTAGTAAATTTACGCTAAGCTTTTTCAGTGTGAAAAACTTAAGTGTTAAATTTTTTGATAAAACAAGCCGTTTTACCAAGTTTCTTTTTTATTCCGCGGGGAATCTTCAATTGCGAGCTCTCATTTTGAAACCAAAATGTGAATTGCGATTCTTGGCAATAACGCTCAAACCAATGAGAGACAAAATTGATCGCAAAGAAATTTTGAAAATGAGCCACCAATTGAAAAAAAAACATCCGAGCTGAACGAGGTAAAATACGCCCACAATTAATTTTTCATTTAACTAGAAATTTTTTAAATTATGAATTTGCCAGTTGGTTTCATAGCCAGTTCTTCGCGCATCGACATCTGAGACCAATTTCCAGTCGCACCGTTATAAACTAGAGACGCAGCCGATGAAGCTCGCCTTCTTCTTGACAATAAAAACTCTCCTTTTCTATTTTCGGAACTCAAATCTTCTTCGTCATTTCCATCTTGCATAAAACAGCCTGCAGTTTTAGCTCTTTTTAGTCGCCGTTCTTCTGCCGCTTCTGAATACTTATTTGGAGGTCTTTCGTTCAGTCTCGCAGAATTCCCAACTTTTAGATATCCTTGGCATCTAACTCGGTCATTTCTCGGCTCCTCTTTCAAATTACGCAGCGAACTGTTTTCTCTGATTATTTTGTTGTAGTTTGTATCTAATGATGAAAGGGTGTAACTTTTGGGTAGAAACGGTCTTTTAATAACTGGCGTGGGTTCTTTGCCAGTTGTCAGTGTAAATACTTTCGGAGGTAAAGGGGAGAATAGGAAAGGTGATCGATTGGGCTCTGGTAAACCAGAAATGGAGTTCAAGTTTCTCAGACGGCACTGGAGATAATTTCTCTTTGCCTCGTAAGAGCAAGGATAATACTCCATTTTTATGGATACGCAATTCAAACCATACTGTATCTTCTTAATTCAACTTTTTAAACAGACTTAGACATTTTTAAACAACTTTCAATCCAAAACTTATTGACAAATTTGTAGCTATCAAGTATTTGATCAATAAAATTATTTTCAAACTCAAACGGAAAAGTCCAGGTGTTTCTTAACGCCAATTGATAACAAATTCTGTCTAGTTTGTTCTCTGTTTATTTTGGAACGGAAATGATCACAAGGTTTCATCACCGAACAAGTCAAAAGCAAGATGAAAAACAGTTTGATCAGCAGTCAGCATTCAAATATGGTCATTCAAAATATATCAAAAAAGACAGCCATCTTTTAGAACTGCACTGAATTATAAATACACTAAATTGATTATTCCGGGGAAACTTAAACTACTCAAACAAAACAAACATTAAGAAACTGATGAATTAGACAATTCTATATGGGGACTAAATTTTTTTTAAAGAATTGCAAACGGAAACAAATTCATTGTTGACGGCAATGCAGCAGATGTTGGTAGATGTAAATTAAATGTTATGAATTTTTTATTAGAAGCAGCCTCAGGCAAGCTTAAACGTAGAAGCTATCGACTATGCAGTTTTTCAAGCAGACACAATGTACCAACTCGGTAGTTTAAACATGGAGTACTACAAAATCGATATACCGAGAACTTGCAACATCAAAGGAATTTTAATCATAATTCTGGCACAAAATGATTGATAGATCAAGATCAATCGAAGATTAAACAGCTACATTTTCAAGCCAAACCGATACCTCTACGAGCAGTTAAGTATGTCATATAAGACATCAGCCATTTGGAAAAGAGTCAATGAATGCAAATTAACAGAAAAAATACTGATTTGTTTTTAAAGCCCATTTTTCGAAATTCGAAAAAAAATAGATGGACTTAGAGCTCTTTGAATTGCTATAACATTTTATTTCTATTCCGCTGGAATCTGAACAACAAATTCCACTTTCGAAACTAGAAATCGATCACGTTTTCTCTTGCCATTTCCTCTTTCACTATTGGAGAGCAAATTTTGCCCACCTTCTAGCAAACGATCTTGAATTGAACTCAAAATGTGCACGTATACCTAAAAGCAGTCATAAATGCAGTAATATGTATCAATGCCCTTTCTGTTCTGTTTGAAGAACTTTAACACTTTTCCTGAAAAACAATCATCACTAGCTATATACGAGTCAGAGCTACGTTCATCGAAAACAAAGACCGAAGCGCTCATTCATTTCTAGTCAATAATTTAAAAACATAAAAAAAAATTGCACTATTTACAACTTTTCAAACGCTTCCCGAAAATCTCGTGCTAGCTGTTTGATCCTCTCTGGTCTAGGTTGAAGGCAATCGCCTTATATGTCATTTACGAATATGAATTTTTGGGTTTTCAGGAGTGGGACTCCGTTTGCTTTAGCAGGGTGTCTATAGCATTTATTCAGCCAATTTATAGTCCCATATCGATACTGCTGACCAATTAAACCCAAAATTTCTACTCTTACATCGCATTTCAAGCATGTATAATTCAAGTATTCCATTTCAAGCTACGCATTAAGCGGTTAGTTCTTCGGCCCAACAACATGTTCTTCCCGCTCATAACTTTTTGAAATTGTAATCTGACCTTTTCCAAATACATTGCGCATAAAAATGCTCACAATAGTTCCTCCTGAACATGACATTGATAATGTTTTTCTTAAAACTTTTTTTCACTAACAAAACTTTTTGATTTTTTATTGAAAATTTTTCGCACTTTGGTCATAAATTTGTCATTGATAAGCGTCACTTGCCTGGCATTTGGAAGATAAAATTCAAAGGATATTTAAAAAATCAAAATTCAATACAGAGGCGAAGCTTTTCATCACAAACACTAGCCAGAACACGACAAAAAGCAGATCTATAAAGTGCAATAAAAACCTTATTATAAGCCTCGAATTAGTTAAAATTCGGCTACGTCTCGGATTTGATCTGCGACCTAGAGATAAAGAATCTCACGCACTAACCACTCAGCCACGGACGCTTAACAGTTCAAAGAAAAGCCATAAACAAAGTAGAAAACAGATGCTATGGACCTTCCACTGTTACAGATCGTGATTATAGCAAGTGCCACCAAATAAGCGAAGTTTTAATTAACCATTTTAGTTGTGAGTTAGATTAGAAAAGGTTCGTACTAATACACTACGCTGACGGCTAGTGTAAAAAAAACATGAGCGAACAAACTGGGAGACTTTTTCCGGGAAATATGCGAACAAAAAAGGCTCTTAAGAACGCCTTCACTTCGTGCATTGATGCTTAATAAAATTATCAACACTACCCCTAACACTCATGAGTACAAGCTGACCTGTAAATTGAATTCTTCCCGTCATCATATCATGATATCATCAACGGTACCTTTCAAAACCCCATAACTAATTCGAAGTGTTGGAAACAAAAAATAGGCCATAAATAAACCGAATGTTTTGATGGAAACAAAAAAATAGGCCATAAATAAACCGGATGTCTGCACCGGATGTTTTGATATTCTCATTGATAGATATATTTTATTTGGTCAATTGGAGATAAAGACCAGGACTATTTTCACAGGTGAATCTAATTTTAATTTATCAATTTACACAGAGGCGAAGTTGCACATCGCATACAAAACAAAAATATGACCGATAACGCTACTCGGAAAAAATGAATGAGTAAAACTTTGAGTCTACAAAATTTCATAAGTGACGCACGCCAATTATGAGTCTACATAATTGCTAACTGACCCAAGCCAATTATGACGTATTAGCAGTACCAGTCAATTTGGAAAAAAAAGAATTTACCAAATAACATGCCTCAATTTATAGAGCGGACGCATTTTAACTAGTATACGAAAAAGTTCATTAAAAACATCCGACCCTTCACAGGTTCTAATCTTTTTATTTTGTTACTGGCCTCCTTCCCTACCTCTACGATACAGATCCATGATAACTTGAAGCTAAAGTGACATTTGAATATAATGTATGTGTTAATATCCTTAGCATTGACTTAAAAGCAGGATCAAAATGAACACTTTCGAAATGAACACATTTTGTCGCAACAATTGCATTGCAACAAAATTTGAGACTTAGGCTGGAAAAAATATATAGTTCATACTATAACACAAGCTTTGCTTGTGTAATAAGCTAACCTGTTTATTTATATACAGATGGCGTGCTAGATTTAAAACCTGTTTTGATAGCTGCATTCTCAGTAGGCGAGCGGTTCTTTTAGGTTTAAATATTTCTGAAAAAAGATCATGTTACTACTTACGGAATGCACTTGGTGTCGTGTGGACATCTGATATCATCGCCGAGACAGGCTCCCGAGGTCGGATCAACAGTCGGGTACTCGGGCACAGGAGTTGTCGTAAATTTCCTATCTTGACACAGATCTTCCGCTTCATCTGCTCCGTTCGTGCATTGTTTTGTTTCGTCGCACAATTTGTCTCTGTACACACACTCTGGCTTCTCGTCGGTTGATGTTGATTTACAATCGAACTAAACCAGAAAAAAATGTCATTTAAAAAAAATTGCAACTGTGTTTTCAACCAGCAACCATACATCAAAATTCTGATATTCTCGCTTTACGAATATAACCAACAGACCGTCAATAGAACCGAAAAAAGACGACTCAATGAAACGTCTATTTATTTCGCATCATACCATTTTTGTTGTTGGAAAAACTTTAAAAAAAAAACGTCTCGAATTAGTTGAATTAAAAAACAACCCACAAAAACTATTCACGAAAAAAGACCTAAATAGATGCCTTCACATCGTTTATTGATATATTCCATGAAAAACGGCCAAGTTAAAAAAAAGTGAGCTGTTCATTTGCGCCGATATCTTATTTGAGTGAATGACAAGAAGACGAGTCTGATCTAGACAGTGAATTTATTAATGAGCAAAACAAACAAAATAAATACATTTTGGCGGTTAATTGAACATATTAGGCGGTAAGAAATCTTTTGACGATTTAATTACTTATTATATTTTCTTCTAATTGAGTGCCTTGCCTCTGCTTTGTTTGCTTTCCTGTTTCTCATAACTGCTTATTAAGTTCATTGTCTAGATCAGACCCATCTCCTTGTCTCGCCCTTATTGGTTCTACCACAGTATAATAATCTTCAGCAGCTTTTGATATAACCGTTTAGGTGGCGTATCACGAGCCGAATACCCGAAAAAAAAATCGTTCCCGGATAGCCGAAAAAAAATTTGTTCCCGCAGAGCTGACATCTTTTTCGTTCTCTGATATCCGAAACGTTCAGATTCGCTCCGAACCAAAAATCAATCGTTGAAAATATTGAATTCTCGTATCATATATGAAGAAAAACTTATTCCCATTATGACCCTCCCCAAATAAATTATAGACCCTCAAATTAAAACTTTTGTACACAAAAGCGAAGCTGCGCATCGCAAACACTTGCTAGAACGCGACAAAAAAGCAGCTTTATACAGTGAATAAAGAAAATAGAAATAAGCCTCGAACTAGTAAAAATTTGCTACGTATCGGATTCGAACATGCGAATAGGGCAATAAATTGCGAATGCTATGCAGCAAAAGTGGCAACAAATTCAAATATACGCAATTTGGCATGTAATAACTTGAAATATGACCAACTGCCGGCATCCACGCTAACTTTGTATGTAACAAATTAGAAAGCATAACGCCAAATTATGTATAAACTAAGCGTTTCGAAATGATTGCAAGATTTATTGAGATGAAAAAATTCTGAAATCGAGTTTTTGTTTTATTGTACTGATATTTGAAGCAAATAGTTTTTTTTTCGGTTCATTTGAACAAAAAGAGCTGCATCAACTGTGTTAATGTATAACTAATCGAATGTCAAAGCACATGCTATCAAAAAGCTGAACAAGTGCCCCAAAATTGGCACCGATATTTGCGACTTCGGTTAGAGAAAAAGAATAACCGTACTATCAAACCACCTCATATAAGTTCGCAAGTGTAATAATGGGTGAAGTTTTGTTTTAAAAATCAAAGTTCTGATCGACGTCTTTTATTTGATCAACGAAATTTTAGCTATTCCGAAACTTTATCGAAGATCTTACTTTCGACATAACTTTCTGCGACGTCGCCCAGAGACAAAAATTTGTAAACAATCTGGCAATATATCGCGGTCTTTTACACTTTTGTGACGCGTGCTCCCCGCGACCCTCTCAAGACACTTATTTAATACTGCTGTTCTTTGGTAATTTACTTGATAGTCGAATTAATTTTTCCCAGATAGCCAAAAACCTTTGTTATCGGATAGCCCAAATAATATTTTGTTCCCGGTTAGACGAAAAACATGTTGCATATGAAAGTAGTCACAATTTGATAGCTATTTAATTCCACGAAAGCAAAGATAATACACAAACTAATGCTATACGTTAATTGGATTTTTTGCTAACTTAGTTTTAAAAAAGATGTTTTAATATTTCGAATAAAAGTAGTGTACATTTTGTGACAAACTTGCCTTTTTAGTCTTTGTTTTGTTTTGGTGCTAAGAAGCTTAACACGAGTTCTTTTAGTTTTTTTTCGGCTATCCGGAAATGCTGCTCTTTAAGGACGCATTATTACAGCTACTGTTACAAATTCTGAACAAATTGCACAGCAAAAACTTCTAATTCGTTTGAGCATGAATAAACTTTTGATTAGGTTCAATAAATCAAATCTTGCGTTAATCAGGACACAACAATGGTCCTCTGTAAATAGTTAAGCATAGCTCGAACATTGGTCTGTTCCTTTGTGACTTAAAGGCCGTAACTTCAAAAAGTAAGACTAGTTCACCTGAAATTGTGGATCGCATTTATCTGCACACTGCTTCTCGTCGGATCCATCGTCGCAATCGTCGTTCCCATCGCACTTCCACTGATCTGGGATGCACTTCCGGTCCCGGTCACATTTGAACCCACCCGCTGTGCACTCTTCCATGTTGTCCGAATGGAGAGTGATGACGCAATTGTCTTCGTCAGAGTGGTCGTTGCAGTCTTGATCACGGTCACATCTGAAAGAAAAACGAGAACTTTTACAATTTGTCCAAAATCACTTCGAAAAAATTCACTTCTTAGAGGTTTTCCAAAATCACTTTAAACTATAAGAATAAAAAAACACAATAACTTGTAACAGAATTAACAGAATTGGATAAAAGTTTCTGTTTCATATTCAGCTGGTGTCTCAAACCATTATGTTGGTGGGGAAGTAACATCGACAAATTGACCTTTTAAAAAACTATTTAAGAACACAGCCAATCGAAGATTGGAAAAGAGTAATGAACGCAATACATAAAAAAACACTGATTTTCTTGAAAAAATCTCACCTTTCGAATTTCAAAGAAAAATGTAGATGCTCTTTTAGCTCTTTGAATTTCTAGAACAATCTATGATTGGTGCTTTTTTGATAACAAAAGCCCAACTCGAGAAACCTGGATCAATAGGTAAAGATTTTATTCCGCTGGAAATCTAAAAATTAAATTCCGCTTTCGAAACTAGAAATCGTTCGGTTTTTTTCGCACCATTTCCACGTTCGTATTTGGATAATGCTATTTACGTCACTTTCACCAGAAGAATTTCAATTGAACTCAAAAAGTGCATTATACCTATGTGCATCAATATTTTAAGACTTTTGCTGAATGAAAAACAAACAAAAAAATCAGCAAGACCTATTTAAGAGTCTTCAGTATGTTCATTACTCCTAAACAGAAACATGACGACAGAGCGTGTTCTATACTTTTTACACAGAGGCGAATTTTCACTTCGCATACACAAGCAAAAATATGACCGATAACGCTACTATGAAAAACTAAATGAGTAAAACTTTGAGTCTACAAAATTTCTTAAGTGACGTACGCCAATTGTGACGCATTAGCAGTACCAGTCAATTTTGAAAAAAAGACAATTTACCAACTAACAGGCCTCAATTTATAGAGCAGTCTATGGAGCAGTGATAACATGAAAAATTTAAATATAATAAAACAAAAACAATTTTTTTTATTTGAGATTTTGTGAAAATCATCCCGCCACACGCCATATTAAGTACAAAGTGATAAATTTCGCTCCTAGTAGCAAATCAAATATGGCAAATGAGCTTCCTTCAGCCAATTTGAAACGATTTCTTTGACGGATTAAAACTCCCCTTACGCGTTAATAGCGCGAAATATATCGTGCGTTAATTTTCCCAAATTGGCCAAAATAGCAATTTTTAAACCCCCATAACTTAACGAAAAAAGACCACAGGTGAATTATCCTTCCAAATTTAAGCTCACTTTTTGAATGATATAAAAACATTCCGTAAAAATGGCTAGTTAAAAAGTCGAAATTTGTCTGACGAAAAAAAACCACCCCGAGCACAAATATTCTGTTACTTTTGTTAAGAAAGTCGGAACAATAATAGTCTGTATTATAATCCATAGCATTGGCTTTACTTAATAGTTGGTTATTGATCAAAATGAACAATTTCGAAATGAACACATTTTAACGCAATATTTGCGACTTAAGTTGGAAAAAAGATAGTTCATACTATAACACAAGCATTGCTTGTGTAATAAGGGGCTATTAAGTTGAAATATTTGTAGCTCATTCTAGTGACTCAATGCATACTCACCTCCAATCAGATGGAATACACTTCTGAGTATTGCACTGGAACTGACCCTCGGCACATGCTGGGTATTGACACTCTTCCTCGTCCGACTCGTCTCGCTCGCTGCCCTTCTCGCCACAGTCAAAGTCAAAGTCACATCTCCAAATGTTAGGGATACACTTCTTGGTCAGTTTGCACTCGAACTCGTAGTTTTGACATTGCTGAAATTGGGCAAGAAACTGTTCAACATACGCTTCAATTTTCCGGTATCGCATTATGAGCGTTTTATGAGGATAATGAGGGTCTACCCACTTAAACTATATTCAGGAATAATATGATTTATTCTCAAATAATTTGATAACATAGCAGAATAGCACTCACAAAGACGGAATGGCGGGAAAAAATTTATATTTTTTTCAAGAAAAAAAACAGTGCGAAGCTCTGCTTCGGAAGAACAAGCAAGAAAACAGCAAAACACGGTCAAAACGTCAAAAAATGGCTTCTTTCTGAAGTCAAGACTAATTTCTACAAATTAGGTCGTAGACGCATATGCAGGGAAGAATTTCACAACCTGAATTTCACAAGAATTTCACAAAAACTGTCAAAAGTAAAAAAAAATCTTTATCTTCTAAAATTGGAACAGGCGCTGATGCAGGGAAAATTCCCATGACCAATTCTTTTCATTAATCCCAGATTTGGGGGGGGGGGGGATTTTTGACACAAGCGAAAAAAGGGGAAAGGTAGCTCTAAAAAGCGAAATAAGAAATAGTAGAAATAAGAAAAAGTAGAAGCAAGCCTCGAATTGGTAGTACTTTTGCTATGTGTCGGATTCGAACCTGCCAATTCGAGACTTTGAGCCTCACGTTCTTCCCTCTCAACCACAGACGCTTAACGATTGGCAAGCACTAGCGAAAACGCAACAAAAATGCAGCTCTTTAAAGTGGAATTAAAAGACTAGAAATAAGCATCGAATTAGTAACAATTCTGCAACGTGTCGGATACGATCCTGCGATCTAAAGATTAAGAGTCTCATGCGCTTACCACTTAGCCACGGACGCTCTAGCAATACTATCACAAATAAAGCAGAGAACAGATGCTTTGAAAATTCCAATGTTACAGATGGTGATTATAGCAAAAGTCTCACAAAATGTCTCACAGAGTCATGCTTATACACTGAGTTCGCTAGTGTAAAATGATCAAAACGTCAAAAATGGCTTATTGAGACACTATTTTTTATGAACACGTATGGGATGTTCTTTTGATTAAACTTTCTTCTCAGATTCGACTAGCGGAGTATGCTGGTACGTATAATAAATAGCGTATGTCCGACTTTGTAAATCGGTACTAATCAGCAAAACTTTTCCAAAGCGTCAAATAGTAAATTGAAAAATAAGAAATCAAATCCAATAGATTTTCACATTACCTGTTTTTATCAAACGCGAATTGTCACTAGCCACTAATAAAACAGCATCAGATGCTATTAAATTGCCAATGATTGGATATATGAATTTTTACGCAAACTCTAAACAACTTTAAAACGATTGATCTTTAAATGCTATTAGAAGCCGCAAATTATGTCTCAAACTCAGCTTCTCCTTGCGATGTGCTATCCACATCCCAGGTAAAAAAAAACTGATGAGCAGCTGGCAACAAGTGCCACTCAGCAGGATAAAATAATCCTTAAAAGAGAGCGAGTATCCTGACTGCTTCAAAGCTGTAGTAAAAACAAAAATTAAAAAAAGAAAATGCTGATCCGGAAAAATTGGCATCATACAGACCTCTCTCAAATCTTTTATACTTTGATAAGTTGATCGAAAGACTACTTTTTCAACAGCTGATAGAATACGTAGAAACGAATAACCTTATTGATAAACGGCAATCGGCCTACAAAGAATTCTTCTCCACGGAAACTGCCCTGCTTAGCACGTCATCAAGTTTTCTGCCACAACTCGATAATAATCACACCACTCTTGTCATTGAACTTGACCTATCCGCAGCCTTTGATACGTTAAATCATAAGGTTCTTATGCATGTATTGAAGAATTCGATGGCAGTAGACATCAACCCATAAAATTAATTCAATCCTATTTGAACGGCAGGGACAGAGATTGAAAATAAACGATTCATATTCAGATTTTCTTCCAATAACGACTGAAGATCCACAGGGTTCTTTTGGGCCCACTCATATTCTCAATTCATGATTGTCAAAAAACCACCAAAAAACTTGAATCTATTGTTCCCGAATTTAGAGTAAAGGGATATACTTTTAATTTTAAATTGAAAAGTAAAACGCTTGGGTTTACGCTTGACTCGTTTACGCTAACTGTGGTGTTCAGAAAATTGCAGTTATGACGGGCACAAACAAATTGTGTAATAAAAGAAGTCGACGAATCATGGCGGAAGGGGCCGTAGTCGAAAAAATGCAGCTATCTAAATTATGGTTTCAAAATTGCTTTGTTTCCTTGATTGGCAGAAAATGTCACACCCGAACAATAAGAAGATTAAATGAATGTTATAAACGTCTAGCATGAGACTACAACATCCCCTTAAAAGTTTAGATACAGAAGACCTGTATCATCAGATGGTCTGCATCCAGACATCTCATCAATGAGACAGCTAGACCGAGATTTTCAAAATGTCCAGCATATAGTTCTCTTCTGCTTGCTGTGCTTTGAATATGGTCGCATGAGATCTCTTCGAGCACAAAATTGATTGATTATTTTAAAGATAATTCATCACAAAGTCATTGAAAACTTGTTTTTAATATGTTTTTTATCGACTTTTTGAGCGTACTCTACTTCCATTTTTTTTGTTCATCGCCATTCTTTTGTTCGCTGTTACCTGCTGAAGTTAGTAAAAGATGGAGGCCTAAGATCTCTTTTCCTGCCTAAATTTGTGTTTTATTCGCTTTCTGGATTATAAGTGTCATATGGTCATTTTCACCCGGGTTATCGAATTTTTGTTATCGATCAGCAAAGTTGATTAAAAACCTTTACTTGTTCAACTCCTTCGGTTTTGGAAAGACAAAATGATGGCTTAAGGTTTTTTGCTTTCTCTTCGTCTAGTCCTGTGTTAAATTCTGCACCCATGGTCGCTTTAGGCCTGTTAGAAAATCATCACTGCGAATATTCGAGAAACAAATGGATTTCGGCTCCGAAAATTAGAAAAAATAGGAAAAATTAGAGAAAATCACCCACGTCGTCGAATACCAGAATATGGCGTTAAGCAAACTGATGATGATGATGATGAAATTCAAGAAAACTGAAAAAATGGCTGATTTTATTTGATACACTAACGAGAAAAAATATATTGTCTCAGGGCTCTTTGAAGTTTAAGAATCTCTCGTGGATTTATTCGTGTGATAAACCTAACCCCTAAATGAGAAAACCGAATATTTCTGTATGTGATTTATCTGAATGTATGTATTATGTAGACTGTATGTATTTTTCACACTTACTAACCTAAACACACTTCGAAATCGAAATTTTTTGCGCAATTTGCACTTTAGTTAGAGCGCGAATTTGAGCATCAACCCTAAAAATATCACGACCAAAATAAACGTCCTCATTTTGTTCATTGACACTTAGAAGACTAAAAAAAATAATGAAAAAACAATTCAGCTCGTTCATTTAGACCAAAAAAAAATGAAATCCTAGATTCAATTAGCCTATTATCAAATCAACCTAATGAACAAATCTTATTGAGCTATCAAACATTGCATGCAGAGACAAATTTAAATTAGTAAAAAAAGATTCGAAAATGAAGCGGTTAGAACAAACCAAAACTTCGCGGACAAACCATTGTCTTTGAAAGAAAGAAAGAATATGTTTTTCCTTTTATAAACAATATATCAGCATAATTAAATTTACCACATTTAAAGCAGGAACGGATAGACAACGGGACCTGTTGGTCCACTAAAAGTCTACCCTTTTATTCAAATTAAACATCTCTAATGAAACAAATCAAATTAAACAATACGAGCAAATATATTTTTATTTAAATACAAAAGCTACAGCTCGTGAAAAAAAAAATATATATATATATATATATATATTTATAAATTTATGTTGACATTAACTAACTATTGAATTAGTACCAAACTTAACAATACTTCCGGGGCGCTGTAATATTATATGTATATATTTTTTTTTTTTCCAAGTTTTTCAAAAAAAAAAATTTAACCAGACTAACCGGCTTCATTACATCTGCCAATCAAATTTGTATATCGAACCTTGTAAAAAGTCCATGTTATAGCTTTTCTGGTAAAAAGTCGGTCTGGTTAAAGGTGAGTCACCGCTTTATTGACACTTCTTACCTTTTCTATTTATGCATGAGGTAAAACAACAACGCATTACCAGCCATTCAAGAGTAGATACGTGTCTTTAAAAGGAAATAAACAAAAATGTAGCCACGCGTAACACGCTTCTCGATAAACGCAGAGAAAAAGTAGAAAAGTAAATTAAAATATCTAATTAGAAACTTAGCTTCTCACCAGTTGCATTGAAGTTCAAACCTAATCGTTCAAACTTAGACGACAAAAACTGAGACGAAACCCACTAAGTCCAAAAAAATCCACTAAGTCAAAAATCTAGAATGCTTGTCTCGATTTGTCTAGTATAAAATGCATTTTAAAAAAACAACTTAAATTAGGAGCGCAAAAAATAAAAGCGGTTGCAAAACCGAAAATATTTGCGCTGACACTTGTTGAGCTGATATTTTTTTATGATAACGCTTAAAAACGAAAAAAAAAAACGTTCCCGAACATACAAACGAAAAGAAAAATCAAAAACAATTGTTGAGAGAACGAAATCAGTAAACATAGCCGATCGTAGACTGGAAAAGAGTAATGAACTCAAGTAAACAATAAAAAACACTGGTTTTGTTGAAAAAATCTCACTTTCGAATTTCAATGAAAAAATAAATGCCCTTTAAACTCTATTTCTAGAACAAATTATGATTGTCACTTCTTAATAACATTAACCCAACTAGAGAAAAAAAGATCAATGGGTGAAGCTTTTATTAAATTCCACTTTCGAAACTAGAAATCGTTCACGTTTTTCGCGCCATTTCCACGTTCGTATTTGGCGAGTGCTATTTACGTCACTTTCAGCAGATGAATTTCAATTGAATGCAAAAAGTGCATATATACTTAAGTGCATTCATAATTGAATCAATATGTATGACAGCACATTTTAAGACTTTTTATTAGAGCACATTTTTACAGCACATTTATTAGAGCATTTTAAGACTTTTTCTTAAAAAAATCATAAAGATCTACATAAGTGTCATCACTACGTTCATTACTCTCAAAAATCTTCACGATGGAAAATTTCAGAGAACCGGTTGTACATTTTTCGGCGCTAGCACTTTGATTGCTGAAAAGCATAAATTGTTCTTCTTTCGACAAAAGAAGTTGAATAAAATAACAGAATGCAAAGAACTTTAAGAGCAGGCGATTGGAAATTTTTTGCCGAAAAACAATAAAAAAAAATCACAATAACTCTTCCTTTAAATTTCCGTTGTTCCGCCGTGAAATCACAAACTTAATCCTTTATTGAAAGTGACGCTATTTCTGACTGACATCATTTACACTTGGCAGTCATCTTCAATTGAATTCAATTAAGTAGTCATGCTCATTTTCAATTGAAAGCAATATTTTCATTCGTGAGCTTGAAAGTTGAATTATAAATAAAAATTCACGAAGTCAGAAATTGGTGCAAGTCAACTAGAGGCTCAGCTAAAGCTGGAGGTACCTGTTTGATAATTGTTGAATTTGTTGTACTGATGCGGAATTAAGTAGGTAATTTCAAAAATTGGGCTTCTTTTTGTGATTTTGGAAATTTCCCCGGATTTAATTTTTTGTCAAAATTTTACGGCAGAGCATCTTAAGTATGGAGGTTTTCCACAACATGTTGCCTCGATTAAACCCTTGATATCAGATTGAGTTGTTTTCGAGAAGCCAAAGTTTCAAAAAACGGACAAGAAATCAAAACATTGACTTTTCTGATGGCCATAATTTGTGTTAAAAATTTTGGACAGAAACGCTCACACAGGGTAGTTCGCTCAACCCTATCTCTTTTAAACCCAAAATCGCATATTTGGCATGTTAGTTTTCAAGTCAAGTTAAAAAACTGCATAACACGTTCAAAAAACATTAAAAAAACATTTCCGAGGGTCAGAACTTTGTGTAAAAAAACGTGGACTTAACTGTTTATGCAAGGGAGCCTCTCACAACCTTTTCTTCCCATTGAAACCAAAACCTCTGATTTGGGTGGGCAGTTTTTGAGAAAAGTCGAAAAGTTTCAAAAAAAAAACGATCAAGAAATCCAAAATTTGACTTTTCCGAGGGTCATTACTTTCGTGTAAAAAAAAAAAATTGGGCGTCGCTGCTTATGCAGGTGAGCTTCCCACAACCTGCTCTACCCATTGAATTCAAAATCTCAGATTTGGGAGGGTCGTTTCTGAGAAAATGTCAAAATTCCAAAAATTTAAGTCAAAAACTCCCCACACACTTTTTCGAAGGCTGTAGAAAGTGGGGCAAGGTAAAAAGAGCCTAGAAAATTACGCAAGCACACAGGACTTCCCATTGGTACCATTAAAAAAAATCGATAGTAGTTTTTGAGAAAAACTGAATTTTTTGAAAGTGAGAAAATGTTCCAAAGGGTCTCAAAAAAAACCCGATCCCATACACTTTCATAATACCAGTTTTTATCAAACAGGATTTAAGAAAGATGCGACTGACGAAAGAACACTAACTTCATTCAGTATCACATATGGGTATGAAAAATTAGTTCGAACTATGAGCTTTATATGACAACACTCATGTATTACCACATCATATGTAAAAGCGAACAGCTACAAATGACAGTCACAAACCTCAGAGTCCTAAACAAAATCAATCATCAGTTATATCAGATCACAATTCTGCAATCAATTTTATAAGGCTGCTTGCTAACATAAACTCATTTATCCAATCATACTTAAACTTTATAGGAACAAAATAGTAATGCATTGGAAAACAAGAGACGGCTCAAACAAGAACACATTTTAAAACGAAAATTAAGAAATTTCTTATAAACGAAAACAATCAAGACTAATACTGAAAAATTTAAATGCCTCTGATCACATTGTGCTTGTATTTTTTCGGATCTCTTCAAATTTTCACTCTTATTTATAAATTAGGAATTTTGAAAATTTTATCATTAGGAAACCGGGTCACCCTCATTATATTTAAAAACCCTCTGTTATGTATAAATGCGGCGTTTTAAAAATTTCAATATTTTCACACTGGATAGCATTTTTTTAAAGCAACTGAAAGAAAGAAAAAAAACATTACACGAAATATCTATAATTGGCAATTTTTGATTGAATCGAAGCAATTGGAGAGAACTTGATCGCTAGATAGTTTTCTGATATGAACTAGAATTCTAGAACCAAATTAACTTTTGAAATTTCATAGTAAATTTAGCGTGTAATTGAACTAAGAATTAGTTTTTTTAGCAGCTAAACCTTTTAAGCGGCTCTAGAAGGTTCCCATAATCACTGTGCCGGATCTTTAAAAAATACTAGATCAATTAGAATTTTATATATAATTTGCAAAAAAAAACAAGGATAACCGGTTACTGTGCACGTAGCACAGAATGTTCCGACCATAGACCTAAAAAATACTTTTTTAAAGTTTTTTCAAGATTAGTGTCCTTTTTTTCTGCGCGGTGTGATAAAAGGATCTGGACGCAAACTCGAACTTGGGCATATTTGAGTGACATAGTGAAATAGTTCAACTTCAATTTATTACATAGAGCGAATCTGATGCCGAAAAGTTTCAGTTTTTCTGAGCAAGCAATTACAGCTGAGAAACTTAGAACAATATATTTATGAAATATTTATATCATGAAGCGAATCGCTCCACGAAGAGTGCGAGTTTTTTTGAGCAAGATATTCAAGCTATGAAGTTATTTTTAGATCATTAGGGTATTTTAGATCATAAAACTTTGAGTTTTTATAAGCAAGATATGAAACTTAGAAATTCTTCAAGTTATTTTATAAGAGAAATCGGATGGCGAAAATTTTAATTTTTAAAGCACTTCAGGCAAGGAAACTTTGAAGTGTTTTAATTAATTCATGGAGAGAATCGGAAGTTTTTCTCAAGCAAGATATTCAAGTTATGAAATTTTGAAAAATTTCATGTTGTTTCAGACGAAATCGGTTCGCGTAACATTCAAGCTATTCTAACCAAGGTATGAAATTTTGAACTTTTTTATTGTAGCCATTCAAGCAATAAAACTTTGATATATTCAAAGTTATTTCATAGACCGAATCGGTTCGAGAATACTTTATGTTTTTGTAACCAAGCTAATCAAACTATGAAGCTTAGAAATAGTTTATTTTAAGTTATTTCAAGAAAGGAATCGAATGGGGAAAAGTTTTAGTTTTTCAATTGGAGCCGCTCAACAGATAAAACTTTAAAATATTTCCAACGCCGAATCGGTTCGTTAAAATTTGATTTTTCTAAAGCAAGCCAACCAAGCTATGAAACTTTGAAATATTTCATGTTAGTTCATAGACTGAATCAATTGGCTCAAAAATCTGAAGCGTCAGTTAGATATTGACAGAAGAATTCTTGAACAGTCTAAATTCTAATGTTTTTTTAAATGTTGGGCTCAATGATTGTTGGGCTCTTAACCATGGCGTCTTATGGCAGCTAAAACATGGCATTCACTTTTCTGCCATTCGTTTTAGATATTAGATTTTTAGATATTAGATATTTAGATATTAGATATCGTATTAGATAAGATAATATAAGATAAAACAAGATAAGATTACATTTATTATATAAGATTTATTTAATATATAAGATGCGTCGAAATATCGGACTACAACTTCGACCTCTCTTAGCCGAATTAATTTGTAAGGCTTTTTCCTAAAAGGAAAGCACAAGACCACCCACCCGACCTTATTAACAATGATCAGTTACATACCTCGTATTGGCACTGTTTCTCGTCCGAGTTGTCCCCGCAGTCGTCGCTGTGGTCACACTGCCACGTGCGAGGTATACAGACATTATTGTCACAATGGAACATCGAAGCACCACACATCCCTTCAACAAACAATAAAATTTATATTGACCTGTTATTTGAATTTGAAAATGAACTTAACTGCACTTGTCAAGTTCAACTGTTTAGACAGAGAGGCCTTTGTCTTTGTGTCCTCAATGAATTACTTTCACTTGTGAATCAAAAACATCTCTTGAAAACTGCATGAGACGACCTTCTACGATCAGAGCATTATTGAATCAGAGAAAAGTCAAACAGTCAGAAGTTTAAAGATCTATACTCGAACACCAAATCCCCCTGCTCAAGCTAAACTAGACAAAAAAGTTCAAAAATATTCACATTAAGAAACAATTTTCGTACTACTTACAATACTCGTAATCATCAATTTTTGGGCCTAAATACAAGTAACTGCGTAAAATTTCAGATGCGAATAATAGAAAAACGATACTTCAGACTTGATCTGTGTCTCAATTATGTTTTACAACATCACAATAGGTCAGCGAGAATCATCTTGCATACAGTCCAGCAGAGCGTTTTCTATGTAACAGTTGCTTGCTGTTAAAACTCGCAAAACGGACGAGCTCGTGTTTTCGTTCGTATTTCCTTAAAAAAAAACAAGATTAGATCGAATTTACTTTCTGCGCGTTTTTAGAGTCATCATTTTAAAATAAGTTCATTTTTATCGCATTTTCATGCAAGGCAAGTTTTTTTGATGAAATCAAACTACATCGCTTTTTCAAGCCGTTTTCAAATCCGTAACCGAAAAAAAGCTGGACTTGACTTTTATGTGCAATTTGCAGATTAAAGACAATCGTTAAACACAAATACCAAATGTGGAAAGCTTGAAGCGTAGTGATGTAACATGTATCTAGACGAGCGGAAAGGAGCCAAATGCTTCTAGAATTAAGATAGCTGCATCTCCTGGGGTTCGAGCACTTCTGTGCAATGCGTAGGTGGAACTAAACGGGTTCGGGATTTTCGGTCCGGGAAAATACACAACTTTCAGGCAGTTTTCGCGCCTTAGCGTAATCATTATATGGTCATTTTTGTAAAATTCTGCAATCTAACTACAAAAAGTGCACACCATGGAAATCGGTTTAACGACCTCTGCTTTACTCAGCAAACGTTATAGCCACGATACAACAGTGGCTTGCTGTTACCTCAACTGCTGATTGAGAGTTTGCATATATTGTAACTAAGTTGTTCATATTTTAAAAAAAGCGTGTAACGCTCCTCCGTTGCTTCGAATTTTTTTTAGAAATTATTAAAAATATATTCTCTTATATTGGAGAAAAATCTGCAACCTTTGAGTGTAATCTGACAGCAGCCAACAACAGGGTTCGTTATTTCAAATTTTGTTAAGTTTATTTGTTAGTTTTTTTTTATTCAAATTTTGAAAGACCAGAAATACCAAAATATCTAAATTCGTCGAAAAAAATTAAACTGACAAAAATGTCACAACTTGGATACTAAAAATATTTGAGCAGTCGCATTTGGAAACAAAATTTGCAACTCTTGAGAGTACTCTCACAGTGCCCAACTACAGGGTTGGGAATTTCAAGTTTAGAGAAACTTTTTATATTCAAGTTTTCGAAAAAAAAAATTGGAAAACCTTTAAAACGTCACTTCTAGAAAACTGCAAAAATTTGGGCAGTCATATGTGGAGGAGAGAATTGCAACCCCCGCGAGTACTCTGACAGCCCCAAATAAAGGGTTGCGCATTTCAAAATTTGACAAAAAAAGTTTTCTGAAAAATTGTTCAGGTTGACGAATATTGCCTCCAAATATGACTGCTCAAATATTTGTAATTTTTGAGTAATGACATTTTTTTGCGCTTTTCTCAGAAAATTATCGGAAAACTTTCAGTCATATTTGGAGGCAATATTCGTCAACGTGAACACACTCTGACAGCGCCCTCACCCTATTACAAGAAAGGGTGGCTTCGAACTTAATTAAAAAATTAAGAAAAAATTAAATTTAAGTCTTCTAAAAATTTACAGATAAAAACATCACATCTAGAAAGTACAAAAAATGTCACATCTCGAAAACAACAAATGTTTGAGTAATCATATTTGGAGGAAAGTATCGCAAAGCCTGATAAAACCCGAAAAACCCCCCATTACAACGAGGGGAATTTCAAAACTTGAAAAAAATGTGAATAAAGTTTTCTGAATTTTTTTTTTAAAATCACGAAAAACATAATATCTGGAAAAGTAAAACGATTTGAATAATCTTAATTGGAGGCGATATTGGAGGCAACCCCCGAAAATTCTTTCAGTCACAAAATAAAGGGTTGCGAAATTGGGGAAAAAGTACATTTAAATTTTATGAACTTTCTGAAAAAATTACGAAAAAACGTCAAATCGAGGAAACTACAAACATTTAAAACGTCATAATTGGAAATGAGATTCGCAACCCATGCTTAACCATGCTGTCAGATAGTACTCTGACAGCCCCCAACTGAGATGTTGGTAATAACAAAGTTTTACAATTTTTCGAAAAAATCGCAAAACGTCATATCTCTAAAACTTAGAGCAATTGAGCAGTCGCTTTTGGACGCAAGATTTGGATCTTGAAACAGCTGAGAGTACCCAACTACAAAATAGGGAATTTCAAATCTTGAACTTTTTAAAATCTAAGTTTTTCTGAAAAATTAAGAAATCATCAAACACGTCATATCTCAAAAACTACAAGGATTTGAGCAGTCATATAAAGAGGTTAAATTCGCAATCCCTTGAGGAACCCTGACATTGTGTTGCTTATTTTCAACTCGGTGAAATAAACACTAGATTCAAACTGGAAAATCGAAAACGAAAATCCTCAGGCATTGCAATATACGATATAGCTTAACCATGCATAAATACGTTATGACGTTAACTGTTGCAAAAAACGATTTAAAATGGCAAGATACGTGTCACACGCATTTAAATATAGTATAGATAGATAGATAGATAGATCGATAGATAGATCGATAGATAATGTAACACAGAAAGTTTTGGGCCAATAGAGGTCAGTTTTTTTTGTTCTTTTTTTTCGGGCCGAACGTTTTTTAAACAACAAGCACGGACCGGGTTTGGGCCTCAAAAATTTGACATCCGGTGCCAATTGAGCTTTAACAAATTTTGTGCTAAATCAAACGTTATATTGACCTTGTCTAGTCTAAAATGCAGGTTTTTGGCTGCAACTTTTAATTTTGCAGTCAATAAATTGGTGAAAAATAAAACCGTATGATCTGCATACAACAATGTCAAACAGAAATTATTCCAACAGAAAAAAAAACAACCGAATCACAACCATTTTGTAGACTTTTTCATTCTACCCACTACTATCGGTCAGGCAAATTACTCACTCTTTGTTTCACCCAAATGTGGCTCGCACTTTTTGGTTCCTAATGGAAAATTTTGTTCCCGAACATATTTCAATGATCAACAATTGCCTTACCGATTTTACCAACAACGATTATGATGATAAACAGAGTTAAAGAGATCAAATATAGCTAAGAGACAAAAGGAGCAGTGTCAATTTACTCGAAAAAACCAATAAAATTATTAACTTTTCAAAATATCTTTCAACTACTGAATTTAGCAGAAAAAATACACCACGTTAAAGTTTTTTAATTTTGCGAATCTCTAATCAGTGAAACTTCCATCATAAAACTAACCCAATAAGGAAAAACTCGACTAAAAGGTTACTTCTTTAATGTTCTTTTTTGAAACTACAAGTCCTTCACGTTTTGCGCACGTTTTTTTCGCACCATTTGCACTTTTTTTTTATTGAAATGCGTTTTTTGCTTTCGAATTAGGAAATGATTCTGAATTGAACTTAAAAAAAATAAAGAAGCGATAAATGACTTCGCTCATTAAAACTTGACAAAAATGAGCAGCAATACAGGTAGGCATTAATACAAATAAGCTTCTCAAAGGCATGGAGTCAGGGAAAAAACATTCCCATTGCATAGATTTAATCTACAGCTATTTTCAATTTTAAAAATAGGAAGTTAAAACATGAAATGACATGCAAATCTCGTTTCAGTCGCAAGGACTATACATGTAAAACATAAACATCGGCAGATTACATGGCATTCAGGTGGTAAGCCAAGAAATATAAACACAGTTCAATCTAGTTTAGAAAAGGTTCTTAATGAGAGTTTTTAGTTGATGTTGTTTTACCATCAATACTGCAAACATACGTGATTACTTCAGTCGCAAGACGTGATTATTTTTCTTCAGCCATTCGGTCTACTTTTTCTAACAGACTGCTATTATTAAATATTACGTCAGTTCGACAATACGCGTCAATTCAGGCTCTCAAAAGTGGTATTTAAAATCGAATAGCAAATCTAATATCGATTTGGTTGCAAGAATGATTTAGATAGTTAAATAGACCTCAAGACACCCACCATATACCATATAATTTATAACGTTGAGCGAAGTCGCTTGGTGGTTATTTTCCAAATAGCTCATAACGTTCCGAGCACTGTTTAAAACGATTTAATCGATAGATCAAAAATCCAGACAAGCATGAAAATATTATAAAAATGTACAAAACAGGTCATTACTGAGCAAAGCGCCAATAAATGGGACAAAAAAGAGTCAGTAATACTCAAAGAAGGAGCTTGAAGAAAAAAAAATGGACGATCATCTGACTTACCATTAATTCCTGAAAACCAAAAACGCACAATAATACATTTCAAATTAAATTATACATATGATACAATGAAAACCATTCAAAATATCAAGAGCGAAAAGATCTTCAAGGTCTACTGAACTGCTTTTCTGAGCTGTCCTAAAATACCGAAAAGAGGACCAAGTTAACATCCTCCCCCCAAATCCGTTAGGGAGGGAGGATGTTAACTTGGGTTCTACGTTAGGAATTTTCAGCCAATCAAAATAGAGTATTTTACATGTAGTGCTTTTTTACATTAAAAGCTGGGTGGAAGATCTTAACTTGGTCTATCCGAAGAAGCAACTGTTGAAGCGAATCCAAAAGTAGTCATACATAAGTGAGAGAAATAAAAACTTCAACCAAGAAGTTTCAGCAGAAAATACTGTTAAATAATTCAACAGAAGTCGGGATCTCGAAAAACATTTGGTGATCTTATAAATTCAGTTCCAACTCGCAACCCAAAAAAAATATAAAACATGTCAGCCAAAATCATAGAAACAGACAAAAACTGGAAAACATTTAAAATTACTTTCTAATATTAAAACAACATAGCCATAGCCATAGGAAGAGAAAAACATCGGAAAATATTTTTAAAAATTTTCAAACATTAAAAAGACAATAAAAAAGCTCGCATTTCAGTATATCAAATAACGGATGAGTTCTAAAATTTCAAACAGATTTCGATTTTTTCAGCGTGTCAGTGTCATACTGCAGCACAACGAAATGGGCCTTTGCTTAAACATGCAAGATATATTATGTTGAGAAAGCTTAAGTACGGCGAGATAAGGAAGCTCGCATTTACCTATATAATCGATAGATACATCTATACAAAAAATCTTAAAAACGATTAAAAAAAACAATCAAATCTCAAAGTTTGTGTTTCAGTTTAATTTATTGGGTGGGGCTTTGAATTAAGATTAAACATATCAGATTTTCAAACTTTAAACTTTGAGATTTGATTGTTTTTTTTATCGTTTTTAAGATTTTTTGTATAGATGTATATATCGATTATATAGGTAAATGCGATCTGATGAAAATCTGATATGTTTAATCTCAATTCAAAGCCCCACCCAATAAATTAAACTGAAACGCAAAGACGAAGCTACGCTTCACAAACCCAAGCAGGAAAACGACGAAAATTAGCTGTATATAAAAAAATAGCGTGTCACGCACCACTGGTGCTTCAAACAGATTAGTAAACATGAAAGCTGCTTATACATTTTAAAAAAATGAAAAAAAAAACTGCGAAATGGATGTAACCGAAAAAGACTGGGAAATCCAACAACGCTTTTGATTTCATGAACGATAAAAATAATAATGGAGGTTCAAATCCCCATTCCTACTTAGTTTCAGATCTTCGTTAACAAAACCCTAAAATAGCCGACAGCATACAACTGCACTTTTCATACTAAAAAAACTGAAACAATTGATTGCAAAATTATCAAATTCATAAAAGATATTCATAATCCATTCTATTTAATTATAAAAAAAAGACTGTATATTCTTTCATAAAGTTCAATGAAAAAAATTGAGCAAATATCTGAGGATAAGAGGCCGCATATGCATCTGTTGGTAGTAACCTGACATCACCCCACCAAAGCGTCGATAAAATTTGAAAAGCGTTTATTTGAAAAACAAATACTTTTGAAAATTTTCAAAAGAAGATGGAAACGTTATAACTACGAAAACAAAAGGCGTTGAGCAGTCATAACTGGAGTCCAGACAAACATCCTGAAAACACTTTGAGAGCACCTCGCAATAGTGCAGAGTATTTCGAACTTGAAAAATTATTTTAGATCTTAAATTTTTATAAAAAATTTGTTGAAAAAGCATAAAATGTCAGCACGTCTCAGAAACTGAAATTATTTGAGCAATCAAAGTTTGAAGCAAAATCAGCAACCTCTGAACATCCCAGTGTAGGATAAAAAATTTCAAATTTTGAAACGTTTTTTTTTTAAAACCTTTTTCACATCATGAAAAAAGTCACATCTCGAAAACCAAAAAAACTAGAGCAGTCATCTCTGGAGGCAAGATTTTCAATCCTTGAGAGTAACTCGAGAGCACCAGACTACAGTGTTGGCAACTTCAAATTATGTGGAATTTTTTTTAAACCCTAAATTTTCTGAAAATTTCAGAAAGAATCACAAAAATGTCATATCTCGGGAAAAAAAGATATGAGCAGTCACATTTGGATGCAAATAAGATTTGCAACAATTGATGGTGTCCTCACAGCCCCTCACACTAGAATTGTTAATTGAATTTTTGTAAAGTCTTTAATAACGGCATATCTCGGAAACTTAAAGGATTTGAGCAGTCATATTTTGATGCAAGATTTGGAACCCCTGAGAGAACCCTGACAGCGCCCAATTTCAGGGTTGAGAATTTCAAATTTTGTCAAGTATTCATATGAATTCTTTAAAAACTTTTTTTTAAAGTCAGAAAAAAGTCACATCTCGGAAACAAAGGGTCTGAGCAGTCACATTTGGATGCAAGATTTGCAACGACTGAGAGTACCCTGACAGCACCTCACACTATAGAATAAAGAATTTCAAATTTTTAAAATCTTTTATATCTAAGTTAATTGAGTTTTTTGAAAAAATCATAAAAACGTCATATCCCGAAAACTGAAAGGATTTGAGCAATCAATTTTTTTAGGCAAGATTTGCAATCCCTAAGAGTACCTTGACAGCACCTAAACAGGGTTGAGAATTTCAACTTATGTGGAATAATTTAAATCTACGTTTTCAGAAATGTTTCGAAAAAGTCAAAAGAATCTTCAACAAAAAGATTTGGGTGGTCATATTTGGACTAATTTGCAACCCCTAGGGTAACACTGACAGCATCCCACTTTTGAGTTGCTAAATTCAGACTTGACAAAAAACACTGAACTCTTGCTGGAAAATTGAAAAAAAAATTAACCATTGCATTATGCGATATAGCTTAAATGTGCAAAAATTTTTTGGTTAAGCACGCCAAAACAATACGTTGAAAAAGCTTTAACATGGCGAGACAGCATTCAAATATATAATAGATGAAATAATAAAGGAAAAATAACCCTCGATAAATAAAACTTTTGCAATGGCCGATTCGAACCTGTAAACAGGGGATTTGGAGTTGCACGTCTTCGCACATCTTCCCTTGAAAACTTACTAACACGAGCCACCAGAAAAGCAGCTAGCTATGCTAATAAAATTCTAACGCTATGCAAGAAAAGTCGCACCAAATAGAAATAGACACAAATTTGCATGTAAAACTTTGGAATATAGAAAACTCAAGGTTTCCAAACAAAATTTGGAAGTAATAAACTAGAAAGTATAGATCCAAATTATGTATAAATTCAAAATATAGTGAATTGAAAAATTCTGAAATGCAGTTTTTAGCATTTAACTGTTGTTTGAAACAAATATTCTTTTTCGGATCAATTGATGAACAACAAATGCATCAAATAGGTTTACTGATTACTAATGTCAAAGCTCATGCTATCAAAAAACGTAAAGGTCCCACCAAAAATGGTACCAATATTTGCGTCTTAGGTTGGAAAAAAATATCTCATACTATTACACTACTTTCGCATGTGTAATCAAAAAAGAACCACTTAAACATTTTTATCAGCCTAATATCGCAAAATCAAAATAAGGATGAACGGCTTGCCATTTAGCCACGGACGCTTAACATTCTAACAAAATTATCACAAATAAAGCAGAGAATAGATGCTATGAAATTTCCAATGCTACAGATTGTGATTATAGTAAAAGTGCCAAGAAATGAGCATCTTTATTTGTGAGTTAGGTTGGAAAAAAAGGTTCGCACTAATACAATACGCTTGCAAGCTTGCTTGTGTAATTACGCCAACATTATGACTTGAAAAATAAGACATGGCGAGATTGTGATGTCCACAATTTTATACTTGATTGATAGATAGATAGAAAAACAGATAGATAGATAGATAGATAGATATATAGATAGACAGATAGATAGAGAGATAGATATACAGATAATAGATAACAATAAAAGCCGCAGAAAAAGGCTTTAAAACATTAAAACAAACGAACCGTGACAAGATTGGCAATGTCAATCTCAGTTCGCAGCTCTTTACAGGGATTGAACGCAAAAAAAATTAAACGTGTGTATTAATCTAATGTAGAAAAAGCATCTATAGAAATAAAATATCAAACTAGTCGAGATAGAAAATTGCTTAGGATCAAGTTAACACCCTCCCCTCCCCCCTGCATGTAAAATGCTTGAATCAAGCGCTGCATGTAAAATGCTTGATTCCGATTGGCTGAAAAATTCCAACTTAGAACCAAGTTAACATCCCCCCCCCCTACCCAAACGGCTTTGAAGGGAGGGGGAGGATGTTAACTTGGTCCATTGCTTAAAAGCTAATATTTTACTGATAAACATGTAAAAAAAATACATTGAACAATCTCAATCAAAACGAGTCAGTGATCAAGCCTATGATTTAGAGGTGCGGATATAAGTTACAATCAGTTAGGGAGACTCTCATAAATTCCCTGTTCCGTGCATATAGCACTAACTTTACTAGCTTCTGAAATGTTAAATATACGTTTTTATGGCCCGAATATGTATATGGATACTTATGTATATCAATAAGGATTTTCGGCTAAATGATCCGGTCCGTCCGTTTCCAGTTGTCTATTCAGACGATTCACTGAACTACCACCAAAAATTCACACATCTTTCATCAACACTTAAACAAGTAAGTACTATGTGTACCTGACGTGCATACACCATTCTTCATCTCTTCCTCTCCTGGACAAGAGCATGTCTCGTTCAGACCCCCGTTGTGTCTCTCTATTTCCATGCCTTCAGGACAGAGACATACATGAGTGTTTTGGTCAAGCTGCAGACAGATATGAGAACAGCCACCGTTGTTCACTCCACACAAGTCACTCAGCACTGGAAAAGAACTCAGTTCAGAAAAAACTGGTGCATTCATCTAAATTACAAAATTATCTCTGAAATTACAAAACAAAATCATTTTTTGAGAAAAATTATAGCCAACATACTGTTGGAACAGAGTCAATGAACGCAAGTACACAGAAAAAAATACTGCCTTGTTTTTTGAAAAATCTCAATTTTCGATTTTCACAGAAAAAAAATAAAAATAGATGGCCTTAAAGCCCTTTGAATTTCAAGAACAATTAATGATAGTCATATTTTGTCAAAATTGACTGAATTTGAAAAAAAAAAGAAAACTGGATTAATAGATAAATTTTTCATACCCCTGGGAAATCTGAAAAATTAAACTCCACTTTCGAAACTAGAATTGGATTATGTTTTTCGTGACCTTTACGCTTTTGCGGTTCGATAGTGGAGCTTGCCTTCCTTACAACAAAAGAAATAAAATGGACTTAAAAAGAAATCAAAGTCAAACCGCGAAAAATTAAATTTGATCCTGTACAAGACGTTTCCTAAAAAAAACCATCGCGACCTATATAAGAGTCTAAACTACGTTCATCGACTCTTAATTAACATGTGAATTTTCAAAAGCGTAAGGGTACTAGCCCTGGCTTTCCTGACGCTTACGTTAATAACTTGTTCAAACGTTTGAACTGCAAGAGCGAAACGATGAAATTTACACATTGCGTTACTAACTTCTCTCGGATAATCTCTTAACTATATTTGACTTTTAAATTAATGTCTGATGTTACAATTTCTGAACTTTATTTTTGATTTCTGATTCTCAACTTTCCGAAATCACGTTCGGTCTGAATCGAACCTTTTATCTAAATTGATAAATTGAAACGAAGACCATCAATACTAACCATTGTGTGTTTCTTCGAGGTATGCATACATCTGAATAGAGTAAGAAGAAACGTCAGTGTCGTCCGAACTCAATTGGACTGTGTCGTCCAATGAGCCACTGATCACATTTTTATTCACTCTTCCAACTTCGTTCTTTTTGTCATTCGCCACGAACAAGTAGTCCTGAATCAAATTTATCTTGTTTTTTTTTTTGCCGACAAGGTTACCACATAACAAATTACCGTGGAGCTACACTATTCGGGACACTTTCGAGTACATATTTTCACTAATTTTCATTTGTTGCAACTGACCCGCTGTCTTAAAGATGTTTTGGTTTGGGATATTATTCATCTAAATATTCAGGGGACACAGGCGAAGCGGAATTTCGCACCACTTGCGATACAACACTAACATAGAATAATAGCATAAAAAGCCAAAAAAGAAAATTTTGAAAAAAAATTAGATCATACAAACTTTCATATGTCTCGATAGAAGTTCATTCCAGGAAAACATGCACGACACTTGAATTTTAAATCAGCAACAACGGAACAAAATTAACGAAAAGAAACAAAACCGACAATCTTTGAGCAGACTCAAGTTGAGCCGAAAAAAATGATTTCCAAAAAATATATTTAAAGTCCCACCGTAAATAACAATGGAGACAACAATTGCACTAGCAACTACAATGAAAGCCATCAATTTTGAGCTGCAACCACTTGACCCAAACAAAAAAATTTTCGATTCTTTTTTCAAATTTTTCAACTCCCCCTTGAAACTAGAATGAACAGCACTTGCACTTGCAACTACAATGAAAGTTGCTTACAGCAAAAAAAAATCAGTGATGAGGCAAGTAAGCCGACAATCTTTGAGCAGACACCAACTGAACCGAAAAAAAAAATTTTATGAAGTTTTTTAAATCATTCAAGTCCTTCTTGAAACTAGAATGAACAGCAATTGCCCTTGCCACTACAATGAAAGTGGTTTATAGCACAAAAAAAAATCAGCGACGTGGTAACTGAGCCAAGAATCTTTGAGCCGAAACCACTTGAACCGAAAAAAAAAATGATTTTTTGACTTTTTTAAAAAATCTTTCAACTCCCCCTTGAAACTAGAGTGAACAGCACTTGCACTTGCAACTACAATGAAAATTGCTTACAGCAAAAAAAAAATCAGTGATGAGGCAAGTAAGCCGACAATCTTTGAGCAGAAACCAACTGAACCGAAAAAAAAAGAATTTGAACCGAGAAAAAAAAGATTCAAGTCCCCCCTTGAAATTAGAATGAACAATATTTGCACTTCCAACTACAAGGAAAATTGTCTACAGCACAAGCAAAAACCATTGTGGCAATTTTCTCAGTTCATTTTCTCAGTCCGACAGTTCATTTTTTTCTGTTTTTTTTTCTAATTTCCTTTTTTAAAATCTATCTCATATGAAAAGTGAACACAGGGGCCAAGCTGGGCTTCGCAAACACTTGCGAGAACACGACCAAAAAGCAGCTCTATTAAGTGAAATAAGAAAACGTAGAAATAAGCTAGCAAATTTGGGTCTCACGCACTTAACACTCAGCCACGGGTACTTAAAATCCCCAAAAACTAGCCACCAATATACGCAGCTACATATGCTAACAAATTGCCAATTCGATGCAGCAAAAGTAGCACCAAATACAAAGAGACACAATTTTGCATGCAATAGATTGCAATAATAAAGCCAAATTATGTATAAATTATAATGAATTAGAAAATACAATGAGTTAGAAAATTTCTGAAACTTTTTATCATTGTACTGTTGTTTGAAACAAATAACTTTTCCGGTTCATTTGATGATTTAAAAATGCATCAGCTGTGTTAACTTTTTACTAATCAAATGTCAAAACACATATGATATTATACTGCTACTGCAGCCTACCGATTCAAAAATTCCACCAAAATTAGCACTTTTATTTGCGACTTAGGTTGAAAAAAAGTAAGTTCGCACTAAGACACTTTGCTTCGCAAGTGTAAAAAATTTAATTAATTCTGTTGAAGAAATCGTCCGCTTTGCAAACTTTATAAAAACAACTCCCTAAGATATAAAAATAGACTAAATTTATCTTTTTTTATAGTAGTTTACAAAACCACTACACATTTAAATTTCTGACTTTAAATGCAGTAACAGCACTGATAGAAGATCCACTGGGCAACGCCACCACTACAGATCTTTCCGACCCATCATAGTGTGTCTTCTCCACCCTCCCGTAGAAAGACTCCACCCAGTACAGCCACCCTTTGGGGTCATCCGTGTACAGGTCTGGACTGAGCGACTCGCTCCAGAACAGGTCATTGTCGATCACTTTGAGCAAGTTTCTTCCGTCTAGTGTTGCTCGCATGATTGCCGGTTTGTTGCTCCATTCCATCCAGAAAATATACCTGAAAAAAGTATGGCTGTATTTTGCAAAAAGTCGAAGACTGTACGTGCAAAGCTTTTCATAATTTACAAAAAAAAACTGCGCCAATAAAACTTGACAGGAAATGGTGGTTGAGGGAGCGCGGCGTAAAAACGGATATTATAAACACACGCCTGCAAGCAAGTGCTCCAACAAATATCTTTTCATTTCAATCCATGCGACGAAAGAAAAACGTTTAGAAAATTAGCTTTTTCCAAGAGAGTGGCCGTTGGCAATTATGGAGATTGATTTTGCTGCCGTTTCTTACCCGTGTTTCGAGTCCACTGCCATATTCTTGGGTGCCTCCAGTTGTGTTTTGTTGACCACCACTCTCTTCATTTTCCCATCCAGCGCCGAAGACATTATCCTAGTCAAGAAAGCATGTAATGTATTATAATAAACAACTGTCGACCAAATTATGTGTAAAATATTATACAATATTAGCAAAAAAATTAACAACAATTTGAAATAATACAGATGGTCAAGTAGCAAAGAATTGACAATAGTTGAAAAGCTTGTAACAAATATCTAACAAGATCCTTAATTTTTGACACATGTAGTAAAAGAACTGAAATGAGCATAACAAGGGTAAAAATGAGAGAATTGTTGTTTACCTGTGTGAGAAGTCGTTTCTGTTCTGTTCCACCCAGTAGAGTCTGTCGTTCCTCATGTCCACACAGACGTCGTGGATGAGGTCCATGGCAAACTCGTGTATAGTCTCCGCAAGACCAGAGCCGGACAAGTTCAGCCTCTGAAAAAAATACTATTTCCATCATTAAAAAAACGAGATAATGGTAAACTCACTCAATTTCAACAGGGTAACAATATGCCTATATTTCTACAAAATTAATTATCTTCTAAAAAAAACGTTCTTGGAATGGAAGAAGACAAAAAATGATCAAAAGAGCATCAACAACCAGACAAATTATTCTAAAGCAAAATCAATCAAATTATATTTACAGTGTAAGAAACAATCAAATAATTTGATCCTCCCTCGACATCTGAAAAGATAGGGAATCGAAACCTAATGTAACAAATGCAACTTTCATAGATTTCAAAAAAGCGTTTGATACAGTTTCACATGATACACTTCTACAAAAAGCTGAAAACTGCTGACTACGAGGTCCCATACAGGCATTGTGGAAATCATATTTGAAAAATAGATCACAAGTAGTCACAATAGGCTCCAAAATGTCGAGATTGAAAACTATTCACTGTGGAGTTCCACAGGGATCAGTGCTCGGGCCACTACTGTTCGTTTCAATGATATATGATTTAATATCGATTACAAACTCAGTGATCACAAATTTATACGCTGATGATACAGCAGTAAAGCAAAAAGAACAAAACTTACACCAATACAATGAGGATTTATCAAAATAGGAAATTGGTTGCAAATCAATAAGCTTACTCTGAAGCTAGACAACAATAAACTTAAATTTTAATGGACAAAAATCAGAGGAATAGACAATATAAAAATAGGAACCGATGATGTTAAAAAGGGCCTCTATACTAAATATTTGGGCATTCACGTGGACTCAAAATTAAATTTCAAATATCATATTAACTTTCTTGTTAAAAAAATGAAAAAATTTTGTGGGTTGCTCTACCAAATACGTGACGTACTAACGACAGCCCAACTAATTAAAACCTATTTCAGTCACATCCAGCCAATACTGCAACCTGGGGTTATAGTGTACGGCACAGCTAATAAAGCATCTCTACAAAAACTCAAAATGAAACAAAACCTGAGAAATTTTTTAAGAAAATGGACAAATCAGTCAGTAACATATTTTAAAGAAACCTACAAGATATTTTTAGTGAAAGAATTGCCCATATACGAGATATTCAAAAACTTTAATTTACGGAAGGATTTAAAAACAGAATTCCTAAAAAACTCAATTTCGGACTCGGAGATTCAGGTATTGAAACAAAGAAGTTAAAAAAATCTAACCAACGAAGTATTTCACTGGTAAAAGCCCGAAAAGAATAAGTGTAAGGATAAGAAAACTATTCAATATCATGGAAATTTTTTTTGAAGACTACGCTGATACAGTCAGCAATCTTTTTGATAGTCAATTAAACAATTTTTTCCATAATTTTCGCGATTTATACATGATAAATAATAAAGAAATGATAGATCTTTTTTTTTCTAAAAGAGGGGGTTGTAGGTTATGGACAACTGATAGTAGTTTACAGTAGAAACTTTTTAGTACTTCTTAGAAATTGTACTGCTTAATTAAGGCATTATCAGAATTCTGCAAATTGACAAATGTCTGTTGAATAATCTCTGATATGAAAACAATTTACTATTATTAATATGATTATTAAAAAAAGGATCTCTAACTATTTCCCCCCTTTTGCAAAAGGGGGAGAGATTGGTTACTAGTTATTCAATTCGCACAAGCTCAACCGTTGAATTAGTTCATTATAAGGGTGGCAATTCGTTACTATGCATCCGTGGGAGTTAAAGGGCTCCCAACAAATTGTAGATATCTAGTGCAAAGCACAGAGCAACTGTCCATTGAATATTTAATGCATATCAAACCTTGATCATGTTCATGCGTGAGTCTTCCTTCGGTTTGTCCACAAAGAATAGCAAATTCCTCGGGTAGCTGTATGCAATAGCCGACAAGTACCTATGCTGCCCCACATCAATAATCTCGTCTTTACTCTCAATCGAATTGGACGCTTCCAAGTTCAGTCTGTGGATATTGTCACTGTCTGTCAAGAGAATGAAGGCATGTTCTGGCGCTATGGGACAGACTCTGTGTTTCGGTTCCCATTTGTCCAGCGCTTCCGCACCTGGCTCGCATTCGTCTCCTTCCACTCTTCGATAACCCACGCTTTGGATGAACGTCTTCACCTAAACACGCACTTAGCATAGTGGTAAGGCGTACACTTTCACATAATCAGATCCTTTTTTCGCTTATACCACGTATTCCTCTGCCATTTAAAATAATCATTATAAAAAAATTTAGAATAAGGCTAATTCGTAACTTGAACCCATTAAAAATTTACAATATGTAGAAAAAGTTCGCTACAGTTGAACCGACCATTCTGTACTTCTCATGTTGTGATAACAGAGCTCATTTTAGGTCAGCGTTAGAAATGGATGGAAAATGAGTTCCAAAGGCATACCAAATAAGTGTATCGACTACATTTATTGACACTTAAAAAGCCATCCGTAAGATCCTTGCAAATAGTCCTACCAAACACATTTGTTTAAACTCTAACTCTAACCTATTTTCCCATTGCCGTAAAAAAATCTTCAAATTGCCGCAAGCGTGATTATTATTGTACCTGTCCTGGTATGTCTCCATTCACACATTGGCTCTCTGCATTTGTTTGAGCAATTTGTAGTTCCATGTACTTGCATTCCTGCGTTTCGGGGGTGAAGTAAGTCGCCTGATCACACTCGTAATCTCGCCGAGTACACATGCATGGCACAGATTCAGGCAACCTAGATAAAATGTCAATTAACTTCTTTGGAAAATACCTCGTTTGGGCATTTCAAATCAAGACATAACCCAAGAAAGGACGTCGGAACAATGAGATTTACATTACATGCCTATTTTTGATCAAAATTAATAATAAGTTAACAATCAAGAAGAATTCAATTTAAATTGGACTGAACATAGCCAACAGACTGTTGGAAAAGAGTCAATGAACGCAACTAAACAGAAAAAAATCTTGACTTATTTTGTTGAAAAAATCTTGAACTCTAGAAAATTTTGGAACCTTTCAATTATCAAAGAAAAAAATAGATGCCCTTAAAGCTGTCAGAATTTCTAAAATAATTTGCGACTGGCGCATTTTCGATAAAATTAACCCAATTCGAGAAAACTGGATCAATAGGTAAGTTTTTTTATTTCGCTGGGAAATCTGAAAATTAAATTCCACTTTCGAAACTTGAAGCCATTCGCGTTTTTCGTGAGCTTTACACTTTACTGTTCGATAGTGAAGTTTACCTTCCTTTTAACAAAAAAAATTGAATTTAGACATTGGTCAGCCATTCTGTTCGTAACTGGAGCCTATTAAGCTAGTCTCGGTTCCTAAAAATTAAGAATATTCTAGAAAATTTCCTCATACTTCATTGCAATCCAACTCCCACAATCACTCGCTTTACACATTTCATTTATGAATTGATCTGGGTCACTAAATGGGCTACCAGAACAACACTTATCACTTTGTTATACATTTTTTGTGCGGATTACCTAGGATAGGGTATCCATTTGATGGTGACCCATCAATCCGTTATCTAAGCATTAGTAGTTTAAGAAATGAACTGTCAAACCGTGAAAAAGTGAATTTGAGCCTGAAAAAATTTCGAGATTTCCTAAAAAAAAAAAAAAATCATCGCGACCTATATAAGAGTGTGAAGTACGTTCATGGACTCTTGATAAGTTTTCTGATTATACATGGCATTTGAATTCAGTCTCATTTCTTTTAATCGTAAGTCAGCAGGTTACTACCGTTTCCAGAAATCAAAATGTCACTTAATAAAAATCTCATGATTGAATCTTCATTTTTTGAACTTACGGACTGAAATTGGGACCGTTCATACACTCTGCCTTCGGGTGTCTCCTTATGAAAATCTGCTCCCTTCCCAAAATACATAAATCACTTCTGCCGGCCTCGTTAACCTTCCAATCTAGATCATAATCCGCGTCCGATTCCAAGTTACACAACTTCGGGAAAAACTTGGAAAAGTCCACAAAGATTACGTTCCACAACTGTTCCGGTTTTCCTGTCGACTCGTTGAAATGCGAGCAGAAAACATTAAGAATGGAAGTCTTCTCGTCATAGCGACTCCGTGCGTGATACACAATAACTGGGTGTTCACTGAACTGGTAGTACTCCCATGTATTACCATGGTCATAAGTGTACCAGATTATTTGGGTCGGTTTGTACGCGTCAAGTGCTGTGAGGAATCCCCCAGAATCAAGGAATGCGTAGATCCAAGTTCCTTTCAGACCCTGAAAAACAAAAATCCTTCTCAGTTTAAAAACTAATTTTCGGTTAAAAATCATTGTAAGCGGACTAACTATTGGGAAATTTCATGATTAAAATTTCACCACAATTATACATGTAAAATAATATACATGTAAATTTTGTCTTACATGAATTCAATTTTAAAAACTTTATCGAATATTCACTCATTATTATTGTTTATGGTCAACGAATAGACTGATCTCTTGCAATTCTGTCGGTAATAATTCGTACCATTGCAAATAGTTCTTTCTACTTACCACTGAAAAAGATATACCGCCATTGACTGAAATGAACATGTAAGTCTGATCATCATTCTTCTTCTTCCCCTGCTCGTCATAAGTGACCTCTGTGAAGGTGGACAGTCCAATTTCCTCTCCTATGACACCAGTTCCAACTATCATTCCCGGAGCTGAACTGGAAGAGTAGACTGGACTCAACTGTTGGAGACCTTCTCGAAGCAGAGATGCCTGGACCAATTGGATCGTGCACTCCTTCTGAATAAATAACAATTCAGCCAGATTTAACTTGTGAAAAAACCAACTTGAGAACAAAATCCGCATGACTTGACGCATGACTTGAAAGTGCCTCGAACTACGTTCATTTACAGTAAAAACACCAAAAAATGACTTTGAATTTGGAATAACCATTTCATATTCGCTTAAAACCGTTAATTAGAATCATGTACAAAGAAACATAGCCCATACCCAGTTGGAAAAGAGTAATGAACGCAAGGAAAGTAAAAAAAAACCTACTTGTTTTTTAAAAAATCTTCAACTTTTGAATTTCGAAGAAAAAATAGATGGCCTTAAGGCTCTTTAATTTTGCAGAACAATTTATGATGGACACTTTTTTGTTAAAACTAAACCAATTTGAGACAACAGGATCAATAAGCAAAACTTTCATTTCGTTGGGAAATCTGAAAACTAATTTCCATTTTCGAAATCAAAAGTCGACCACGTTTTTCGTGATCTTTACATTTTTGCTGTTCAATAGTGGATTTTGCCTTCCTTTTAACAATGGAAATGCACTGAATTTAAAAAGAAATCACAAGTCAAATCGCCAAAAATCAAAATTGAGATTGACTTTTTCCTAAGAAAAAACGAACAAAAAAATCAGCAAGACCTATATAAGAGTCCTCACTACGTTCATTACTCTTAAACACGCCTGGACATTTATGAAACAATTCGAAGCTTTGCTAAAACACTATAGGTACTTGCCTTATATATTGAAACCTGTTCAGTTTAATGAAATTCGTTCGGCATAAAACTAACATCATCATTGGAGTTGGTTGCAGTACAGGCCTTGTTTTTGTCGTCTTCTGTAATTACTAGTGGCTCCCACACTGATCCCTTGTTGTAGGTTATGAGAGTTTTGTATTTCACAGAGAGAGGATCTTTCAGATCCCCGGCTACTTTTTGGGTTGCAATGAAGACTCCCTTGAGTCCTTGCACACTGTAGATATCCGCTTGGTTGTCTCTCGATTCACTCAATCTAAAAAAACACACAAATAACTTTTATTTTTACTTGAGGCGAGATTTCATAAGAGAAGATAACTCATAACTCTGCAATTCGTAACAGTAGATTGAGGAGCAGCTAACACTGATTCAGGCGCACTATATACTCGTGTCAAATGTAAGCGTAGAGGCCCAACCGTTCGCTGACTGCTGATGCATTCTTACCAATTGTTGTCTGTTCCAAACAGTCAGCTTTTAAATATTGTCATCCAACCACTTTTAATTGGACACTGATTTTTTGAAAAAAATCTCGAACATTCGACTATTTCACAACGCACTAAGACACTACTTTTTAAAAAAACACTGGAATTGAGATGGAGATTTACGGGCTCTTATTAGCGCAAATGTTTGATACAACAGAACCCCCAACTCAACATGATAACTAATAAAAAGATTTGAAAATCTCGTGACCTGAGAATTTCCCAGTTGACATTTGTGTAAAGACTGGGCGATATGTAGCTGATGTTGACCAGAGATCTCTCCATACTGGCTCCTGTGATGTCTGAAATGTACAGATCATGGAAGAAGGGTCCGTCCACTTCTGCATTTTGTTGTCCAAATTTGTAGAAAGTAGACAGCACCATGAACACTTGATCGTCAGACACATCAGCAACGAAGAATTCCTAAAATATTATGAGAGGAAATTCTTTTTCTCAATTAATTAAATCCGATTACCATAACTAGAACAATGTCGCTATTTTAAAAAAGAAGATAACCTTGCATTTTATCCTACTAAGTTCTTGTTTCAAATTATTCAATTACAATATTTTAAAAAATGCGATAATACTAGGAGCAACTTAAGGTCCCCTCAGGATTTATACCCAATAAACGATCCGCACTTCAGTAGTATTTTACATTTTCAAATTTGCACTGACTGACTCAAAAATTTTGAGAAAAGCCCCAAGAAAAACATGATTTTTTTGGTCAAAACCATGCAAAATAGCATTATTGGTAATTTTACTCAAATCAATTATGTTGAACGAAAAAGGGTTGACTCATTCTTCAATAGAGTTTTTAACAATTCCCCTCGCGTTCCTGAATAAGATCCTTTTGTGCTTCTTGGAGATTAACCCAATTTTCTTGTCAAAATCGTGTGTTGAAAAATCGAATTTTGGTTTATTCAGTTTTGAGACAGATACACTTAATCATACATCATTTCTGAAATCAAAATTTAACTAACTATAATGTTGCGGCGTTTTTGGTCCAAATCTGCGTCTCCGTTGAACCGAACTGGCTTGAAATCCGTGTCCCGTTTGCTAACGTACACATTCACGTGTTTAGACTCTCCAGACGCCGAGGTATCTTCCTAAAATTATCCACATTATGCCTTTTCATATATATGACTACCGCTTATAACCTTCCTTTAAAACAATTCGAAGAGACATGCAATCACTTGTACCCACTTCAAATTCGACTAAAATTGGGCATTGACATACCCGAAACAGCGGCTGAAGAATACAAAAAAGTCAATATTAATTCAACGGTAGCAATTCTGAGTCAGATTTTGTCGAAGCAAAACAATCGAATTTGGTACCTGCGTCGAAAAATAAACAGTTCAAAGTTCACCTAAATTTTTTTTAAAATATATTAACGTATTGTCATAATTCAATAAACCGCAACTAAAAACATTAGGGCTGAACCTTCCAGCTAAAAATCAAAACAACAAAAGAACAAAACAAAGAACATAGCTTACTGACAGTTGGAAAAGAGTATTGAACGCAAGGAAACTGCAAAAAAAAACGGACTTGCTTTTTTTTAAAACTTCAATTTTGAAATTCGAAGAAAAATGGATGACCCAATAGCTCTTTGAATTTGTAGAACAATTTAAGCTGGACACTTTTTTGCTAAAATTACCCCCAATTTGACAAATATGGATCAATAGGTAAAACTTATTTCGCTGGGAAATCAGATAAACATTTTCGATTTTCGAAATTAGAAGTCGATCACGTTTTTCGTGAACTTTACACTTTTGCTGTTCGATAGTGGAGTTTAGCAATGTAAATGCACAGAATTTGAAAAACAAATCACAAGTCAAACCGCGAAAAATCAAAATAGAGCGTGAACAAAATTTAAGACTTTTTCCTGAAAAACAAAAAAAATCACCAGGACCTTTATAAGAGTATTGACTACGTTCAGTACTCTTAATAAAACACATTATAAAAACTCTAAAACCTATAGTAAATGATGCAAGTTTAGAAAAAAGTCGGCACGCAATTTGATAGTCGGACGCTATCAATTAAATCGCCAAAATTGCTAATTATTGATCGATGGAGAACGACTGAGTAAAGGTTTGGAGTGGCGTGGAAAAAAAAGATTCCTTGGCCTAACTTACATTCAGAATACACCCTTGAAAAGATATTATATGAGCCAGTATTAATTGGTTATTGTTTTAATCAGTTTAAACCATTTTTAACCAATTGTTAAACAATTGGTTATATTGGACAACACAAAACGTAGCATCCTGAAGTTCCAAAATACTCTTTTACGAATACAAAAAATAAGTCTTCAAAATTTTCAGCTACAGTGAAAAGATACATATTTCAACAAAAGAAAAAAAACAAGACAAAACTGCAATTTGATCAAATTGATCCAAAACAAGACATTTTTTTTAGATTGAAAAAAAAACAAACCCACCACTGAAATGAACTCAGAGTAGAAGAGGAAGTCAGTCTCCATTTGGAACTCATGGACTTCAGTTTTCACCACAACTGAAGACCGGAAGAAGTCCAGACTCTTGATGACACTGAAGGGGTTGTCCTCGTTCCCGGTGGCCTCTTTGCGCTTGATGTATATCGCATTCTTGCTGCTCCAATTTTCCCTGCATTTGATCACAATTAATATATAAGTTTGAGATAAAAAAACTCACAAGAAATAACAATATTCAATCATTTGCTGCAAACCCTTGTTTTATTTTTCGAATAAGACCGTATGTTTATTTCCCATTTCCAACATCTTGAACAATAACCAAAAGCTATTTTAGACTGTTGTTGTTTGATGTTTCTTTCAGTTTGAGTTCTTACCAGTATACTTTGTAGACTTGCTCTGCAACAAGATCCCACGTGCTTCCGTAGTCCGATGAATGATACAGCTACAGAAAACCAAAAACTAGTTTAAACATTGTTTTACTTCACACTCGTGTATGGTTGCCCGATTGAACAGTTTATAAATACCTATTTGAAAAATGGTACTAAAAATGCAACTAATCAGTGAGCATCGACTTCAGAGAAGCTATTAGGTTTATTCATCTTGGTTGATTAAAATATTTCATACTTTCACCTGAGATTTTTAACAATAGGTTGAATCATTTCTATGGGCTCTCTAGTCAAACACATTATTAATATGCCTTTTATAAGTAGATCGTATAAAATATAATAATTAAAGGCTTCTTTCAACCACCACTCAGGTTGCAAATTAGCATAGTATAGATACATATAATGCCAAACAAATGAAAATAGGACGTAGAAAAATACGAAGAAGTAATATGATCCGAATATTAATTTGTTGATCGAGTCGTTACATTCGATTAGTTTTCAAAATGAAAAATCATATCAAGGAGTGGGAAGTGAAAAAGAGCTGAACTACTTTTTAGCTCACCTTCTTTGTACTTTCTTCGAGCACAAGTACATCGTTTAGTAGATCAGGGTGAAAATAAATGTTTTCAGGGTTGAACTCTACACTCGAACAGATGACGCCGCTAGCCTTGCTTGCGAAATAGTTAAGCGAAGAGCACACCACATGGCTTTTACTGTCTGTGAGGATGAGTCTGGTTCCGTTCAAGTAGAGATTGTCCGCCAGAATATCTTCTGTGGGAGGGTAATGCAACGTTCTAAACCAACTTGTATTCAAGAATAGAGCCGGAAAAAAGAAACTGCGATTTTATAAACTTGATCCCAAAATGACACACTTTTTTGCAATATAAACCAACCAAATTTTTCCGAAAATAATTCACAAATCCAACTAGAGTTAAATATAAACGGGAAGTAAAATGAATGCAACCACAGGTTAGATTTGCGGATATCTGCAAACTTGAGCCATACAAAACTAAGTTCGGAGTTATGTTCCGAGATGGGTAACGAATGAAAGCGAGGGAAGCAGCTGATCGCCACTACACCTTTTCTCTACGGCACCCAGGGCGCTAATATATGCAAATAAGGTTCCGCTTTAGACTTGCATATTAGGTTTAAGTCTTCAACACATGCAAAACACGAATGTTTGATTATCCCCGGATTTTCCCGGACAATCCCTGAAAAAATTCTGCTACAAATTTTGAATGTTTTTTTAAATTTGTGATGACCTTTTTGATAAACACCGAACGAACAAAAAGCAGTTATGTAGTCAAACGAGCAATAAGTTTGTGATTTTTGTGGTAGACATTTTCTGTGCTAATTGCGCAGCAAATGGCTATCCCTGTTAAAATGGCTACCACTGTTAAATTTCTTTGTTCATTTTTTCGCCTGGTGGAAGACACACAAAATACATTGTTTGCTGTCAGGTGATGACCAAGTAGACTGAATTTGTATCATTTGTGTCCTTCCCTTTACTCATCAAATTGATTGAATCAAAATTTTAGCAGAATTTTTTCAGGGATTGTTTATTTTCAAGAAGGCGCTAAAAGAGGCTTTAAACATTTATCTTCCTGGAGTAAAATTAAATTTTTACGTCATATTTGCGTAGAATACGCCTGCTCGCTCGCTTCATTCGTACGAAGATGAAAAAAATATATATTTAAAACAAGAATCAAAAATCAAAACCGGTTTTTCTCTGCAGATTTTTTGGAAAATTTTTAATAGTATTCAAATCAATGATGCAAGGGTTTTAAAATTATTTATCATTCGCGCCTTTCCGACTATTATTTGTGGTATCTGATTTTGCGTTGATCTTATAGATGCGTACCATTAGAAAAATGAAGAAAAACTAAAAGATTTCAGCAATTTGGCAGCTGGCAAAATTAAAATTATGAGAGTTTCAATCTACAACTTCAATAAAAAATTTTTACTACTGGGAGCATAAAAAAGCTCCACCGATAATAATTGGGTCTTCAAAATTTTTGCACTAAAAATTACGGAACCTCAGATTTTTACGCCTCCCTAATTCTCAAGCATTAAATTGCTCTTCGCCCTACAAAAAATGTAATAAGAGGCAGCTAACCGATATAACGTAAACCAAAAAAAATCTGCCATACAACATAAACATTGCGTTACAAAACAGTGAATAGAAAAAGAGACTGATATTGTGTAAAAATAAGCCGATAAACAGGTTGAAACAGATCGATTACCGAGTGGCAACTAAGGCGACCAAAAAATGAGTTTAACAAAATTTCAAAAAAATGAGCTTTAAATTTTTAGAGTTTTTACAACCCATCCTAACTGAAACACATAAAAGCATAAGAAAATATTTTGCACTCGAACCTACGCAATTGAAATTAATTCAGCTGATATATCATTAGCTGGAACCGTTTGACCGAAAGAAGACATATATACAAGTAAAAGTTTTCGAAATCGGACATGGTAAATTTGCAAGTTACAGAACTTTCCATTATAATAAAACCTGTTTAACTCAAAACCCAGGCTTTTAAAAGTCAGCCGATGACAAACCGTACCAGATAATATATTTGTTACTTAAAAAACGGAAACGAACCGACGGAAACTAGGACAAAAACCGCGACAAATTTGAAGAAAATTATGTGAAAAAATAATTACTGCCTGAAACGAACTCAAATTATTCACTACTAAATAATTTTCAAGAAATTGAGCGTGTCAGCCATTGAGCATGAAATTTACCATTCCAACTAAACTGACCATTCTATGAACATCGGGGCGGGGGGGGGGGTCTAGTACCCGGTTACAACACCCTTGCTAATAGCAAGGATAATAACATCTTGAAGACAACTGCACCATTACAAATATTAGATATGGCATTTTTAGAGAAAAAAATAGCTGAGCCTTCAAGAAAAGTAACTGAGCCGTAAAACAACATCGTTCATTGACACTTGAAAAACTACTGACATCTGAGCGAAGGAGTCGTCGACATGAGAAGCGACCATTAGTTTGGAGTCATGCACTTCATCCTCTCCCTTCCGCTCTCCGATGGCCAGGATGAAGGTGGAGTTGTCGACATCTGACCATTTCACCACCAGATTTGTATGGTCAGCGTCGATTTTTGGCTTAATCATAAAAATCAAATTATATTAAATATTCAAATGTTCTAAGGATTATGCTTAAAAACACTACGGATAAGCGGAGACGACGCTATAAGTTCATTATCTCGCAGAAATCACAACCCCAACATGAAATACTTGGACTAATGGGTTCATTCATTTGCTACTAGTCTTTCTACTGGGAACACTTTCAATAAAAACATATTTTGAAAGCCCCAATTTTGCCTATTTTATTTTGCTATTTGAGAGCGAAATTGCTCTTCCATTTGACAGTATATTTACAAATTGAACTTCAAAAAAAAACAGAGTAATTCTAAGGAGCATAACTTTTTGTATACTAAGTACTTTCCTAAACACGCATACAACATACCTACCACACACATCATAATTACGGAAAAAGGCACTTCGATAAATAATACTAAAAAATTGTAGAAAACACATCTTTAAATCTAAGCATGAAAAAACACGATCGAACAAAATCATGATGCCTGTTTTAAAAGCCTTCTTCTGCACGCATGACTAAATTAAATTATTGGTGCATTCCCTCTAAGTTTTCATCTATATATTCAAATCAAAAGACACTTCAATTCAAAATGGTACTAAATTAAAACTACTTCTCAGCAAGACTCAGTGAAACGTACGAAAATTATTTTATGGAAGAATTCATTGTGGATATGACGGTTAACGATTTTGACAGAATGAAATGTGGTGATTAGATCATAAAGTATGCACATACACGTGAAAAAATGCATGCGATATATTTTAAACGCTCTGTTACTTTTAATGCTAAGCAGTTTTTTGACAACAATCGCATTTTTTGTCATATATTTGTACACAGAGGTGAAGCGGAGCTTCGCATCACTTGCGGTACAGAGAAAGCGTACCATTGCAAGCTACTAAATGGTCAGTGAGATGAAAATAACTCTTCTTAAAACTGAAAATATGAAAAAACTAATTGAAGAAAAACAGACTAGAAACACAACCACCAGCAACAAGCAAACTTTTAGTATTTTCCGAGCGTCCACTAAGCCAACAACACGTGGTTAGACGCCAAATGATCCAAAAACAAAAATACCAAAAGAAAGGGTTGACAAAAAAAAAACGTTTTTTGAAATACGTAAAGTTCAATCTCAGAAAAACAGACGAAAAACACCCCCACTAGCATTGAGCAAGCTTTCGGTATTTTGCAAGGGTTCACTAAGCCGACAACACGTGGTTAGACGCCACATAAACTGAAAACAAAAAATATGAAAAAAGAAATTAACAAAAAAAATCAAAAATTTGAACTTTTAACTTTTATACCACCAGCCGACGTGATTTAAAAAAAACATAAATCATTTTTTTTATCCTAATAGCGATGCAAAATAAGTTTACTAAACAGACAAAACAAGAGCCGAAATTACACAGACTGAATAAAATTTCTAAGCGAAAACAAACAACCAGAAAAACGGAAGCAATCAAATTTTAAAACTCGAAATTTTTACAGCCCTCCTGAAATACACAAAAGCAATTAAAACAATGCCCTCGAATCTGCGCAATATAAATTGAATAAGCCGGTATAAAATAAGCTGAACCCATTTAACCAATAAAATTTATTTAAATTATTAAAAATCAGAGTTGGAAAAATTTACTAACTACAGAACTTCCAAGCTGTTTGAATAAAAAACTCAAGCAAAGAAAACAAAACTGCTTGAAAAGCGTATACATAATATAAAAAGCAATTGGAAAAAAATGGAAACTGAGCCGACAGAAATTGGGACAAAAGCCACAAATCCGAAAAAATCAGCACTTTTTCATTAAAAATATTTGACAAATTAATTACTACCTAAAATGATCCAAAAAGTACTTGTATTTGAATGTGAGCGTGTTCGCTTTTATATTGAAAGAAATACATGCAGTTAGTGATATACGAAAGTGATATAGTGAAAGTCTATATTCCGATTTGATAACGCTTGCTCATCGCAAGCGAAATCATTCGGTTGCATATTAGATTTGAAAAAGAAGAAAAATTATAAATTTGTTAACAGAGACGTATGCTTACCTCTTTGTGGGAAATTTTAGGAGAAACTGTAGCGTCACATGTCACTTCCAGTTGAGTTTGAAGAAAGATACCGCAAATGCAGATAGATAGCCACTGGAGAAAGTCCATAATAGCAATTCAGTAATTTACTTTCAAGCGCACATCATGTCTAAAAAATAATTAAAATAAAAGCAACTTAGTATGATATTTCATGCCATTTATATAGAAAAAGAATCACAAACAGGAAATAAAAATTTTGAAATACTGCATTTATCCGAATAAAGCTGTACACCCATTTAATTTACAAAATTGCACACCCACTATAATTACAAAAAAAAAACATTGTATATATTTTCTGTACAAGAAATTGTAATGCTCGTTGTAACATTCAAGAAAATGTACACTCCAACTTAAAGCACACTTCGACAAATACTGTCAGGAATTTCAACAGGAAAGCTCTAATTTGTACCAATATTGCTAGTATTGCTACTCGGAGGTCGGATTCTGAATGACAACAAGACTAAAATCTTTGTCCGGTGCAATCAGGATCTCATTTTTCTTGGATCTTATCCTTATAAAGGTCACTTGATTGCCAGGATCAATGTCTCTGATCATTCGATTGCATTTGTCAGCTAGTGCATGCTCGCAATGAGCATAATGATTGGTAACCGAAGCATCCATATTGGATCTAATCGGAATTCCATCATGGCTACACACAATTACCCCTTCAACACCTTTGTGTTGTTGGATCCGTTTGATAGTCTCTTCCACTTCACTCATGATTGTAGCAGGCAGCCGATGGTAGGTTTACAAAAGAAAACTATCTAAAATAATTATCGACGTGTAAACTTATTAATTAGTTTTATGATTGATATCATGATCATCGTTCGCTGGTCATCAAGTTGCCACCTACAACTGAACTCTCAGCTTCCTTTGATTCACTGGAAGCTGCGTCGGACAATCAATTCTGCCAAAAATCATCTCATCACTGGAGAAATTTGACGATAGTGGTACTAGAAAAGCCTGCTGCCAGTTTTGTGTCACTTGATGCCTGCAAGACATGTAAGAAAAGCACTTGGAAACAACAAAATTTTCCTCTGTCTGCTGTGATGCAGTGTTCTATTACACTACACAGCGCACCAAAATAGAAAAAGAAACTATCGAAGCGCTTTTGAAGGTTCACATGAATCTATTGACAATTTGTAACAGGTGTGTGAACAATCACAGAGATGTAGCAGTGGGAACACTTGGTTCCAACAAAATTATCAAAGAGTGTCAGCAGACATTCAAAAGCAGATGTCAGCGGAGCGAAATAGCGAAAGCCCTCGAAGACAAGATAACTGAAATTTCTGGACAAGTCCCAGAAAACGGTGTTTCAGACTTCAAAGACAGCTTGCACACATGTGCCAAGCGGATAACTGCCCCACTTGCGATACCACACACATCTAGCATTGCAAGCTAGCAGACAGAAAATGAAACAAAAGCCACTCAGTCGAAAAATAATTAGAACTTTTCGAAAAAACTATAATTACAAAACTTTCAGAAAATTGTCTGGAATGATGTTTTTACGCTCCCCTCCTCCCCGGAAACACACAAAAGCTTGAAATCTATTTTTCCTTTAAAACAACGCTTAACTAGGTCACGTAATCGATAAAACCAGCAAAAACAATTGAAGCCAAACAAACCAGCAAAAAAACTACTAACTTTGTAAGTTTACAAACTACAGTAACATATCAAACTATTTCAGTTACAATGTGCCATTCTGCCAGATGGCACAGCGCAACCTTCCGGCGACACGAGAAAAAACGAATAGAGGCCTTATTAACGAAAAAGTATTGCGAAGGAGGGTAGGAATATTCTAGAATTTTTATTTTCAAAATTTCGATCGGAAGGGGAATATTTCTCAGAAATACAAAAAAGACGGCCATTTTGACTGAAAAGGACGAAAAAACAGAACAACGACAAATATTGTGAAAAACGGTCGCACAAGAGACGAAAAACACGAAGCCTCTTATCGTGGCAACAAAGCACGATAAGACCCTTATCAGCGGATATTAGTGGGGAAGGAAGCTTCAGTGTGGAAGGAATATACCACGGAACCCTCCCGTGCCACAAATTGGAAGAGATAAGAACGTTATCTCAGGAAGATTACGGGAGCGGAGGCTTGGTCCCCCAGAGACTGTTTTATGTGAAGGGACTATATAAAACTAACTTTGTAGCTACTTGGATGTCGTAGAAGTCTAAATTAACACCGGTATAATTTGATGTTTTAGAATATGAGTAGCTAGAAAGAGGAAAGGGTCAATCCATCTCCAATGGATTTAATATAGAACTGTCACACAAAAACATGTTAAAATAGGTTGTTCGACCCGTGTTTTTAATGACAATCACGTAATCTGAGGATCCGAGACTCAGCTATGTGGTTGTGTTCGCATGTAAACGAAAGCTGATCAAAAGTCGCTTGACTGATGGCCTAAAAAATAGTAACTTTTTACTTAGCCCTAAACAGACCAGAAAATCAACTGGCAAGGTCGAGACGGTGAAAAACGAGTAGGATTAAGGTAACTGACGCCTGCCAGTCGTTAATAGGTACTTTTTCTACGCTCCGTAGCTGTGTAGTATGTGGGCGAATGTTACATAGACGTTTTTATGGCGCTCCTGGGTGGGCCTGTCAAAGGCATAAGACCATCATGATCAGCAAGCGTTTCAGCGACGAACCCTCCGCTCCGGGAGTATGCCCGAGATAGAGGCCTTAATGACCGTTATTGTACTGGTGGAAGGTGCGTACCCTCCGTCGAGTACTATTTAGCTTTTTAACTTAGTTAACACCGAAAATTCCGGGGGCCGGAGGGTTAGGTGGGAAGTCATGAGCCCGCTTGTCCCAAGGTCCCGGGACCAAAAACAATTAAAGAGAAAGCGTAAAACCAAACAAAAATAGTGTATAACCAAGAAAAAGCCAAAAATAAATTTATTTGAAAACAAAAAAGTACAAAAAACAGTAAAAAATCCAAAAAAGACCAAAAACAGTAAAAAAAAAATGTAAAGTGACAGTTTATATGTTATTTCCGGACGAGATGTGATCTGACCTTCCTATTTGTTGTTGTTTCAGATTGATTTAGATCGTTTTTGATAGAAAGATTGTGTGTTTTGGTGAAGGGTTGGGTACCCTCCCTCGAGTGTAATTTGAGTGTTTAAGCACGTTAATGGTGATTTTGCCGGTGACCGGAGGGTAGAGTGGCAAGCTGATCAACGTGTTCCACACTCAACAGGGACATAGGGACAACATCCACAACGACTGTTGGGTATCGTTGAAACAATTTTAGTATCGTTCGGGTACTATTTCATTAAAACTTAAAGTGGTGGGGGGCACGATTGGCGCGGTCCGATTGTACCCTCCATCGATTACAAATTTCCGAGTTAAGGGTCTTAATTCGGGTATTTTGGTGCAAAGGAGGGTATAGTACTATTCATTAACGACTACTAATAGGTTATTATCCTTATTATATATTACTTATCTCCTAATTAGACCCAAGAAACACCCAATTTTGTCGAAAATTATCGATTTTCGATCAAACTGTAGACCCCCAAATTTCTGGATATCCGAGCTTTTCCGAACAGCAAAAAGCCTTTAAATCGGGAGTAGCTACGTAGTTCGATCCCCCTAACTAAAGAAACCGCGTGAGAAAAGACTCAGTGAAAGTTGGAAAAAACCAAAAATTTTCGGTCAAAATTTCGATAATTTTCTGAATTTTGTCAATCTGTTTTGGGGATCGAGTTTTTGAGTTTTTAGAGTTAGAGCAATAAAATTTTTCGTGTTAGGAGCGTGCTAGCATAACGTGCTCGGCTACCAGAAAAATTCTTGAGTAACCCTCCGATTAGCTCCGTAGATAGAGCTAACGACTTAAGGATTGGAAAAGGAAGGAATCGGAGGGTCCAAATTTGATAGTTATTGGCCAAATTTTTGTCTCCAAACCAATTTTGATCCGGTTTTTTGCACTATTCTAGTGCCGTACAGGGCTACTACGCTCGTTTCAATTATTTTTTAGGGCACTTTCGATAGGAATTGCGGAAAAAGTTTCTCAGAACCTATATAGGTGGTGAAAAAAGGCCGTTTGGACAAACACGTTTTTGGCAATTTCTCAAAGACTAGCCAACCGATCGGGATGATTTTGGTACCATAAGTCGACGTTTTTGACCACTTTTCCGGACCGCAACCGTTTTTGGGTTGATAATCGCGGAAAAGAAAAATTTTTTAGAATTTGTTGGTTCGGAGGGTCCAAATCGTAGGTAATCCTCCGAGCGGCAGAAAATTTTATCAAAACACCTTTTTATCCAACTGGGAAGGTTGACCGTGTCAGCCAACCTAGTTTTAAGTCAGGTGGACCGCTTTTGGAGACTTTATTGCGGTAACATAACCTTTTTTCTTGATTTTTAGGGAACCCTCCGAGGTAACCCTCTGGAGTCAGCTAAAGCCCTTAGCAACCCTCCTTAGTGGAAAGCTTCCACGAGGTCATCCAAAGAAGTTAAAACAGCCCCCCCCCATAGAGAATTTAGCTTGTTTTGACGCTTTTTGAAGTTAATTGAAGGCTCTTCTAAGCGAGGCTCAGAAATTTGAAAATTTTGGAAGTACCCTCCGAAGTAACCCTCCGGAGCATATTAAGCATCTTATTGACCCTCCTTAGTAAGTTTAGGGGGACCCTCCGAAGTAACTTGGGTGACTAAGGTACCCTCCGAAGTAACCCTCCGAGGTAGGCTAAGTGTCTTAACAACCCTCCGAGGTAACCCTCCGGAGTGACTTAAACTTCTTAGCAACCCTCCTTGTTAGAAGCTTGAGGAAACCTTCTGTGGCAATTTAGGAGACGGAAAGTATCCATTTAATTAAGATTATATTAGGATATTAGGCGTGCTTATTAGGATCATAAGAACCCATTTTGACCCGGAAATTCGTGATCAACTTTGGATTCTAGATCGGGTGTATCAGAAGTACCAGAACAAAAATATTTTTTTTATTGTGATTTCGGTTGTGTGGTTGCCTTGAGCTACTTAATAGGAAAGTTCGGGCAATCCGGGAACAAATAAAGGAACACCTCGGTGATTGTATTAGGCAAATACACACTCACTTGAGAAGAAAAGTTGTTCCCTACTCTCGTGCATTTGGAGCAGTCTGGGTGTGG